AATTAGGATATGGTATTGGAGCGATATTTGTCAATTTACTTGTTCGTTCATTTCTTGTGGAGAAAAGTTCATCAACTACGACTAATAGTCTAGTTATTCCATATTCTATCACTGCTGGTCTATGCATCTTAGTTGCTGTTGGACATGCAGGGTTTTACATCCAGAAACTACGAAATCCAAGAGAACAAGTCGAAATCGGACAGGTACGACTTCGCTGTAAACGAAGGAAAATCTCTTTTGAATGATTGATTTAGTTTGACTACAATACTCTCAACAATAATAATAATAATGAAACTGTGAGAGAATTCGGTTCTCCATACTCTCCTCGTACATTCGGTCACGGAGATTTTCAATATGGTTTGACTCTATCCATTCTATTTATATGTTACATATTCTTCGTTAGTGGGGATGATCAAACATTTTCCAGATTCTTTTTTACTTACCTTCAGTCAGGACAATTTCATCTATCGACTAGTGTAGCAAGTTGGGACGTGATTCTGTATTGGCTCTCATATTCTGTATGTAAATCGAAACGAAAAAGACGTGATGATGAACAACATGCTTTCTTTGTCACATAGGTTGGTCGATTATTTGGAGCAATTCTATCGATTTTATTTTCGGTTACTACGTGCTTAAATATAATTTGGTTCGGAGGTTTGTGTCTTGCTATAGCTTGGTTGATTCTTGTTTGGAATGTTGGTCTAACTTCGACAAGTTTACTTATTCTTGGCTCGGCAACTGGCTTCGTTTTTGCTCCATTATTTCCTCTTTCAATAAGTTTGATTAATCAACGATTGAATGTCGTGCCCGTACTTCTTGCTTCGGTTCTTTGCGGTGCAGCATTTGGTGCCATTGTGTTTCAAAAACTAGCCGGTAAAATCTTTACGAGATGAAAAGAAACTCACCCATTGCGATCAATTTCAGGCATCATCATGGATAAGAATCCAAAGCATTTTCCAACATTGTTAATCGTTTGTATATTGATATCGATTACTCTGTATATTATATCTTGCTTTATTCGACGACGAAATCGACCTGCAATACCGAATGGAGTGATTCTTACACTGGACACATTCTATGAAGGCGATGCACAATAAACACCGTAGAAGCCTAGAAATATTGTCTAGATTATTTTTGAAATTGTAATAATAAATCACACTTTTGCTATACAAAAGGAAGCAAATATATTTGTTTTGTGTTTGAGCATGATTGACACGTTTTCCTACGGTGATTTGTGTGTAATATAGGCGCGCACATGCGATATGTTTTCTTTCGGATGGTAAATAATCCAATCTTATTTTTCATGGTTTTTATTATAAGCTAATGGATGATAAAACGAATCGAACTGACACTGTCCGAATTGGGAATCTATTTCAAACAATGATGGAATTTAATTCGAATTGGATTTCTTCTATTAACATGGATCATGCTGGTATGTCCAATGTGTAAAGATATCAGAATGTTCTATTTTGTTGAAAAGTGCTCATCTGGAATTGATTGATACAGTCATGTCAAGTCTAGTCGAATATATTAAGATCGGTTATAAAGATATGGGCTCTGCACTCAACCTATAGTAGGATTGGTTACTAGACGATAAATATCCATGGAAGTCTTGCAGAAGATATCATTGAGAAACATTCGGAGGGACTTTTGATTCTTTCATTCATTCTGCCGGCTATCGGTAAAGGCCGTTATTGTGCAAGGAAGCTGAGCGTGTTTTGTGTTCTTTTTCAGCGTTTTTTGCTACACCAATAGCAACATCGTTGATATAAATGTTTATTTTGTTTTTCATTCAAGACGATGCGCAAGAAAGGACAGATTTAGATAATACGAACAAATCCTTTTGTAAAGTTCAATGATATTGATTTTGTGTTATCCAGCTAGAATCAATACTTTACTGGAGATCAGGGATGAGAAAACTTGGTTTCGTAAAAACTTTCGAATCTCTACTAGTCATCTAACACAACTAACACTCTTGTGCAATCACTCTTTTCTTTCTCCTCTTCATACTACACAGCAAAAACAAGATTTCTTTCGTTCTGTTCTCTGTGTCTGAGTCATCCATTACTCTTTTTCATCGAAGCATAGCTATACTGGATTGTACACTGTTCTATTCTCATGAAATCTTTAGTCCAACCAATACGATGAACAAAGATCAATGAATCATCGACGATATTCTTCGTCTAGAAAGACCATCATCAGTCTATATACAGACATCAAATGATGAAGGGAACGAAACGACCATCGACTTCTCCCAATGATGATCCAGAAAAGAAGAAGAAACTACAAAGTAAGATCAATATGTATCAATATTTTACCTTTTTCTCCGAACTTTCTTAGTTCGATTGAACGAAAGAACTTCGTTGACTTGTATCGAACACTTTTCTAACGAGTTATTCTATGAAATCTTCGATTATCTCGATGGTATCGATATCTACAATACTTTCACCGATCTCAATTATCGTTTTCATCAAAATCAAACTCAACGATTGGGAATCAAATACAAACATTTTCTACATATGAACAAACATCAAATCTTTTCTCTGAATTTATCGAAATCAACACGTCATGGTTTGTTTTTTCCCGATTTTACCATCACTTCATCATTTATTCGACTTCAATCACTTTCTATTGAAGGAATTCAATTAAATCTTCTCATTTCACTTCTTCTCAAATTGACTCGTTTACCTTGTCTTTTCTCTTTGACTATTAATGGATTTAACACATTTTCCAATCTCACTAATATCTATCGATTAATCTATGCATTACCGAAATTGAAATATAACAAATTTTGTTATTATGATGATCATAGTTTCACTTCATTATCAAAAGCTAAAGAAAAACATTTCAGTCCAATTGAATATCTTATTCTTGATCATCCTTGTACTTTTCAAGAACTTTTCTCATTAATTTCTTATACTCCACATCTTCATCGTTTAATATTTCTACACAAATGGTTTATACAGGATGAAAATTTCAATAAAATCTCATCGATTCATCTTCCATATTTATCTCATCTCACTATCAATTCTTATTATGGAACATTTGATGATTTTCAAATCTTTATTAGCAAAATTCATTGTAAATTAACCATTTTGAATCTTTTTATAGTATCTTCTGACATCACTTTTCTCTCGGGTGATCGATGGCAAAGATTTCTCATTCAATATTTACCTCATTTAGTGGAATTTTCTTTCAAATATTCTTTATCTTTTGATGATATTCATGAAAATATGAACTTCGATCGAAATATGAAAAATCAATTTAATTCTTCATTTTGGATTCAACAAAATTGGATTCTTGATGTTGAAATTGAATTGAATGCCATTGTTTATTCAATCAAACCATTTTGGAAACATTTCAATAAAAATTTACATTGGTTTTATCAACAACAAAATTATTCAATGGAATTATCAAATAAACTTTCGAAAACAACACGATTAGTCATTATTTATGAATTATTTAATGACAATATGTATGATTTACTTTCATATATTGATCATATATTCAATATAACAGATATTTATCATTTAGAAATCTTAGAAGATATTTCTTTTACTGAATTAACTGAAATTCTCTCGGTATTTCATCAACTTCATTCATTACAACTTTATACATTCTCATCAAAAGTGAAAATTTCTATGTTAAATGAAGATATTTTATGTTATATTACGAAAAAACAACGAAATTCAATAAAACAATTCAAACTGATGAAATTGAGAAAAATTGATGAAATGGATTTTCTTATGAAATTATTTCCTCGATTAATTTATCTTAAAATCAACGATATAACTCATCTAAATGTTAAACAATTTGTTCAACATATGTTTAATCAAATGAATAGGAAATCCCATCGTTATTTACGATCGATTTGTTTTCGAATTTCAACAATGACAAATGATTTGTTCGAAGAATTAAAACAAATTATTAATCAAAAAAGAATCTTTTCTTGTTTTACAATTCAATGGAGATCAAATGAAATTTATATCGAATTAAAAGAATAATATTTGGAAATAAATCAAAAGAAAATTACGATGAAATCATTCGTATTTTATCCTTTTATCTATTAAATCGATTTCCACACGATGAACAAAAGTTCATTGAAAGATCTTGTCGTGGAAAATTACATTTTGAACATGATGATGATACCGATTGAAAGACATATGATGGTGGTGAAGAAGAATTCATCACTTCGTCATATGTCGATACAGGTGCAGGTGAGATTTTGTTTGAATATGTTGTTGAATGACTATTTTCTATTGGAATTGAACGACCAATATCAATAACTAACTACAAAATCAAAAGATTTATACTGCAGATTTTTAGAAGAAAACAAAGATCTCTTTACATTATAAGCTAAATTATAATTATTTTGATTTCCATATGCTCCCATCCAATTTCGTGATGTATCTAATCTCCAACTACATGGAACTGGTGATCTTGTTGAATATCGCAATGATTCTTCAGCAACAGCTTGTCGTAAACGACCTTGACGTTTCGAATTGATAACACAAGCACCAACGCCGACGAACACGGATCCAATCGTAGTGAATATCACTCCAAGTGCAAGAAAAATATAAAACGACTGAGATATGTTTTTTCCTGCTGTTAATCCTGAAACAAGAAAACTGATGGTTGAAAGTATCATTGTCACTGCAAAAATGATCCAGAATAAGTTGAACATTCGTTTCGTTGAATTCAATGCTTCGTTAATACGTTGAATCGATTGTTGATACTCAGTTTGACTGATAATTCCATTAAGATGAATAGGATAAGTCAAATCAAATTCTCCCGAAGCACATCCAGCTGAATAATTCAATTTCAATCAATGAAATTTCAATCAAAGAGATTACTTACTTTGAACAACTGAAACATAAACAGAATTCGCATTCATAGGAATACCAATCATTTTCTTGTTCGAAGCACAATCGAGAGAAACAAAACACACTTGAAATCTTTATAAATGTCGTATTTTGATATCTTAGGCAAACGTTAGAAATAAGATAAAAAGTATGCATGACACATTATTTGTCTAGTTTCTTTTTTTTCATTCGTTAAGTATTTGCTATTGATAAGGAGTCATGAGACAGCAAAAACTATTGACACATTACTATATCAACTAAACTTATCAATGTTGCGAGAAAAATTCAAAGCAGTGATGCTATACACTGTCTCCTATACTTCTCACTACGATACGTTGTTGGCTTGGGAAGAGTTTTTTTTTTCAAAGCTGAAGAGAATTTTTGACATGTGTTCATTTAACGTCGAAAAAGTGCATTTAAGATTCCATTTTGCACATTGGTGACCATCGCTGATTCGAAAATACCTGCAATAGTTTTTCCTAAATTGTTCATGGAGTTATTCGGATCCTGTTGACTATTTTCATAGACATTATAGGCCACTGTCGGTGCAATGCGTGCTAACTCTTCGGCCGCTGCGATGCGGTTATCTTTGAATACATATGGCCAACGAATGGATGCAATGATCACCGGATGGCTCACACGTAGTACCAGTGTTTTCACTTGGATTTCACACTGTTCAAGGGTTAAAGTAGTGTGAAAAAGATCGCCTTGCTCGGGACAGATATCATTAAGAATTTTTTCTAATTCTTGCACGTATTTCTCGTACATGTACTTCGTGAGTTTACTCGACGTCAACTTCACAGCTGCAAGCATAGATTCCACTATCATTTCGCGTTCTTGTGTTTCAATCTCGTATGGATTCATTTGAAATACAGCTATGTCATGTTTCTCTAACATCTTCTGTTCGACCGAGTGAACTTTTTTCATAATTTCATCACTATCCATCCGGAATTCTTCTTGAAAATATCGAATTAATTCTCTTGTGCAATCATATCTCTTTGTTGCCAATGTATCCTTTTGCCAAAAAGCTGCTCGAGAAAGAACGCAGAGATAGCGTTCCTTATCAAATATGTCATTCCACTGTTCCGTATTAAGTCGTTTGATATACTCTTCGAGTGATTCTTCAGTTTCACTTGGGATCAATTGTTGGCCAACTTTAATTGTGTCTTGTACAAATCGTGCGATTTTCTGTTGAGCCATATTGACAACTTGCCGAAGACGTGAATGCGGTAAGTCGTGTTCAATGTAACTATGGAGTGTTTGTTTACATTGATCGAAACCGCCTAATAACGAATCGTATTGTTGAACACGTTCTTTGATTTGTCGTAACTGGTTTCGATCAGCCTGGGTTTGTTCGAGTAGACTGACATTGGCTGCGACAGTAAAGATATGTTCGCGAGGAAAACTCTTCTGTTCGAGTTCTATTTGTGTCTTTGCGCGATGTTCGAGGTATTTCGAACGTGTTTGACACAGATCAAGTTTTGTTATGATACCAAACGCACGTTTCATACCATCGAAATGTCCCTCATGAATTTCATGTAGCAAATGAACCTGATCGTTGGTTAAACTTGGCCGTTGACCATCGGTTAGGAACAGGAATGCGTCCGAATTTTGTACAGCTCGAATTGCTGATGCGCGATGTTCCGCAACAGGAGAATCACAACCTGGGACATCGAGAAGAATGTAATCCTTTCCTAAAAAATCAGGAGAGAATTGATTTCATAAGGATTTCGAGTTTGCTTACCTGGTAATTTCGCCGTGTAAATAATCACATGTTTGACAATGTTGAGGAAAACTTCATTTGCGATGTATTTGTGCAACTCTTTGATGATCGCTTGAGCTTGAGCATCATTCGATGCTTGATAATGTTTGATTAGTGCATCCTTTGAAACATGTTCCTGACGAGTTTGGTAAATGAGTGTAGCCCGCTTTTGATAAGCATTATCGGTTTCTTCTTTTTCCTTCGGTAGATTATCAATCAACGAGGAAAACTCGTTTTGATCATAAAATTCAATCGTAGCGAAAAGATCCGGATTTTCTTTTGATGGCGGTTTTAGAATGGTCTGAATTTGCGTACACCGCTCGATTCTATACACACACATATGTATTAGAGAACAAACAAAGAGATACTTTACCTGAATGGTAATAGTTCAAATCCCAAAAGAGCATTTATAAACGAAGATTTGCCCGCTTTTTCCAGGCCGATAATACATATTGTGTTGTGTTCCTTTTCACTGATTGCCTTGAGACGTTTCAATTGCTCCAGCATTTCATTCAACGAACCACTTGTTTGTAATTGATCACCGTGACCTACCTTCGCCGCAGCTTGATGAATCGCTGTAATTGACGAGGATATTTGAAATAAATTGTCGATGAGTCGACTGGTTAATTCTTTGACATTACTTGTCGGTTGCAACTCATCCAATTGTCGTTTCATGTCTGGCAGAGTGACCTGTTGCCATTCGTTTAATTTCTGTATGTGAACGTGAACGAGACGAAGATCGGACTGATCACCAGATCTCACACTATTCAGTTCTCCTCGTTCCCATTTGTCTTTCAATAGAAGTTTGAAATATTCTCGCCGGCCTTTGTATTCGTAAATAATTAACTGAGTCCATTGTTCCAGTAAATGCAATAACTCGTTGGAATCAACACCGTATTGAGATATAATTGAACAACACTCGTTTTTGTTTTCTTCGATTTGACAGGAGACAAGTCTAGCTGAATTGATATAGGGATCAGTTGAATAAGAACTGGAAAATGACGTCGACGGCTTGTTCTTATTCGAAGCTTGTTGATTTTTCTTCATCTATATGTTAAGAGAAGTGATTAGTTATGATGAAAGAAATACTAGTTTGAACACTGAAAATAGAAAAATATCCCTCGACGGATTGAATTCTGCATTCTGATCTATGAACAAACGTTTAAAAAATATATAATTTCAACACCTATTTTGCCGAGAACGAATGACAATGCACACACTCTGAACACTGGGTAATTCTACCGCAGAAAGGAAAGAAACACATTAAGAACAGCATTATTGTTGTGAAGCACGGTCGTGATCAAAACGAAGAAATTATACGTTTTTTTTCTTTATTTCTCTGCCAACAGTTCTCTATGACAAAAAATCTTTTTCTTTCCGACAAACGACAAAAGAAATATAAAATGTTGCTATGATGGACAAAAGCAAACAGCTCTCTCTGAATTATAAAACGAAGCTTGTACGGCGGATAGTAGCTATAGGTAAAATCGACTTCAACATCGTACGATTCTCTTTAGACTTTTCGAATTAAACACATATTTGGATTTGATGCGTTATAGCACTTTCCTTATTCCATGTTTGTGCCAAAAATGGATTTACCGGAAAACGCTATAACGCATCAAATCTCGATGACACGCTCACCTCGGATGCTTTTAGGATTTTTTTCTAATGGTTATTAGAGTTTGAAAAAAATCAACCTAGGATGCATGCTTTTTGGATGCTTTTGGTATGGTTAAGAAAATGCGGGGAAGAATGTATTAGATTTCTGGATATGGATGTTTTCCGTTTATTTATGGTAGTTTTCTGCTCGATCTTATGTTATTTCCTTTACCTTCCTGGTGAATCTGGCGTGTTTACCCGTGACGGAAAGCGCTGGATTTCAAAGGTTTCCTTTCCAAGAAATTCCTGCAGGATACGTTGCAAGCCCGCATGGAACCCGAAGGAAGATGCGATAAAAGGCCTAGGATCGTTCAGGTTCCGGAGGCATCACCTTGAACGGGGAAAGTAATGCTTCAAATCGATAGAGCGCAGCGAGATCTTTACTTGGAAACCTCTTTGTCGCGAATCGTAGTTGAAAAAAACTCGGATCTTATACTAAGATATCCTACGTTTTTTATGTCTAGGACAAATATTGCTGAAAACACCTACGTATATTAAATTATATTTTATTTAAATTTTAGTCAAACTATCATAAAAGTCATATGAATAATATTTAAACATGTTTTTATGGTCAAATAATGTATAAATATTATTTCTTTCATTTTAGGATTAACTACATTACATTCGATGCAAATATTTCCATGGTTGTTAAATTTACTTCCGTTACAATTACAATACAACGATTAATTTTTCATAGAAGCAAATGAATTGATTTTATTGTGAATCAATGTACTGATCTTTCTCATTACAAAAAAATAGCGAATATATTTTGCACTTTATACTTGAGTGTTCACAGTCATACTTGAGAATCTTTCTATGATCGTTGTTTTCGAAAAATTCGAAAGAATGCTTCTTTGAATGTTTTTCTGTATGATGTCGATGGAATAACAAATATAACAAATATGAGTATTGATGGTAAAAATGATATAAAATATGCTGATAGATACAACCATGCATAATCAGCTACCTTGAGGCATGCAGATAATAATGAGACGATCAAACGTGGTGTTGATAGAAGAAGTAAGACGATAGGACTAATGATGAGTTGTTTATGTTCCTTCCATTGTTCACAAATATGTTGTTTATATGTTTGTTTCTTTTGAGCTGCTAATCGTCGTCGAGCATTTCTAATAATGATGAATAAAGCAGAAAGAAGATTAATGATGAATGGACCAACAAGATGAATGAAGAGAATAACTGTGTCATAATCTTGAACTGATGATGAATAAGATGTTCTGCATACAGCATATTTGCCAGTAACACTGTCTGCTGGAATTCTTTCAACATCAATGACTGTCTGTCTTTCCATTGTTTCATAGCTGAAGACAAGACGATATAATGGTTCATGAATGAGTGTAGCCATGACGCAACACGGTAAAATGAATATAACCAATCGTGCATAACGCTTACTTTTGTCTTTATTAAAATTGATTCCTCGATGAACACTAACTGCACGTTCCACAGCTACACATGCATTGAGCCAAGCATCCCAACAAAAAAAAAATTTGAGCAGAGTATCAATCGATTTACAACCACTTTCAAGAATAGATAGACGAATAGATGTATCCATTTGTGTAATGATAACAAACCAAAATTTGATTGTAAATAGAGTGATAGTGGCAAGAGATGTGATTGATGATGCCAAAAGATATAATCCACATCCAACTTGTCGCAGCTTTTCATTTTGAAAAGTCAAAATTGAACAAGCACTACTGATGGCACCAACAACAAACATGATGATTGTTAATGCACCACTAATCTTAATAGCCAGCGATTGACCATTGATCGTCATGTTTCGATTAATTTTATAATATAAAATATCATCAAGAGTGAGACCTATACTTTTCAGGTGAGTCTCACATGGACCACCAATATAACAATAAGTTGAATTGTCACCTAAAGAAAGTATTCATGATGTTGAGCTATGAAGAGGAGGTAAAGGAGAAGCAGTTCTTGTTTCTTTTTACTCATATAAATCGGATGTTAATTTGATAGCAATAAGGAGAATAGTTTTTCACATAACGTATCGTATCGAAACAACATCAAGATATAGTAGATATCTTCCAGACATCTTTATTGGAACGTATCATTTGAAAAAGGAACTCAGTACCTACCTGGATTATTATGCTTCAGATGGGATTAAAATTGCGGGAATTGGGAAGACGACGACTATTCAATTCAATGAACGAAACTGGCATTCAAGTGAACTCTGATCTCCTAAGTTCTTATCTTAGTTTCACCGTTTATTTACTCACAATAACATCTCTGTTATGCTAATCGCTTTTGAAGTTTTGTTTATACTTACTAAACGCTTCCAAAGTGACATTTGTCGACCCATATACTGTAATTGAAAATGGGGTCGTCACCATTGGTCTAACATCTGCTACAACTAATATATACGTGATATTCGCTTGAAGCATAGCTGTGAATCCATCATAATTAGGAAAATTACAGCCGTAATATTTGACTGAAATCTGATTTCTTCGTAGTTGTATTCGATCGAATTGATGTTTGTAGATATATGCTGTTACTCTCGTTTCTGCTCTTTTAGTAGAAAAAGCATAAACTGCATTTGTCGGTACAGTTAGTCGAACAGCTTCATAGTAATAAGGTGACATGGTGCAGTCTTTATAGTATGTTTTACTATCATTTGTTATTTGTGATGAGTATGTCGAGGAAATAGTAGAAGACGCATCTATTCAGAAGAATAATAGTTTGATGGAGGTTTCTTGGTCTAGTTCTAATTGGTATCTATAAGACTTTCGTGGAATGAATACAAAAGAGTTCTTTTTCGCGTTTTGTTTTTTTTCAATCTGCTTCTTACTTTTTGTCTATCATGTTTCTCACCCAACACCGGAGACCGTAAAGGTCTATATATATATTCAAAAGAACAACCAATTATCAGTTGTATAACAGTAATAAGCTTGGTTTTCTATATGGCTGATTTTGACTAATATACAAGTTATACTTACTGACAGACTGAAAAGTGACCTTGTTTTTACCAAGTATTTCAATTGAAAAATTTCCTGTCATAAATTTGGAACATGTTGTTACCACCAATATATATCGAGTATCATTCATCATTCTAACAGTAATCGGATCGTGATAACCTTGACAGCCATTATCCATGTTCGAGAGTAAGTTTATAAATGGAACTTCTGGAAAAAACTCATGCTCATATATATATTTTGATATAACCATAGATTCACAGCTGGTGCTGCCAAGGATTGTATAAAAATCATTTTCAATCACGTTCAGTTGTATTGATCTATAACTAGNTTTGAACGTTTTTCTGTATGATGTCGATGGAATAACAAATATAACAAATATGAGTATTGATGGTAAAAATGATATAAAATATGCTGATAGATACAACCATGCATAATCAGCTACCTTGAGGCATGCAGATAATAATGAGACGATCAAACGTGGTGTTGATAGAAGAAGTAAGACGATAGGACTAATGATGAGTTGTTTATGTTCCTTCCATTGTTCACAAACATGTTGTTTATATGTTTGTTTCTTTTGAGCTGCTAATCGTCGTCGAGCACTTCTAATAATGATGAATAAAGCAGAAAGAAGATTAATGATGAATGGACCAACAAGATGAATGAAGAGAATAGCTGTGTCATAATCTTGAACTGATGATGAATAAGATGTTCTGCATACAGCATATTTGTCAATAACAGTGCCTGCTGGAGCTCTTTCTTCTATAGAGATTATCTGTCTTTCCCTTGTTTCATAGTCGAAGACAAGACGATATAATGGTTCATGAATGAGTGTAGCCATGACGCAACACGGTAAAATGAATATGACCAATCGTGCATAACGCTTACTTTTGTCTTTATTAAAACTGATTCCTCGATGAACGCTAACTGCACGTTCCACAGCTACACATGCATTGAGCCAAGCATCCCAACAAAAAAAAAGTTTGAGCAGAGTATCAATCGATTTACAACCACTTTCAAGAATAGATAGACGAATAGACGTATCCATTTGTGTAATGATAACAAACCAAAATTTGATTGTAAATAGAGTGATAGTGACAAGAGATGTGATTGATGATGCCAAAAGATATAATCCACATCCAACTTGTCGTAGCTTTTCATTTTGGAAAGTCAAAATTGAACAAGCACTACTGATGGCACCAACAACAAACATTATGATTGTTAATGCACCACTAATCTTAATAGCCAGCGATTGACCATTGATCGTCATGTTTCGATTAATTTTATAATATAAAATATCATCAAGAGTGAGACCAATACTTTTCATGTGAGTCTCACATGGACCACCAATATAACAATAGGTTGAATTATCACCTAAAGAAAGTATTCATGATGTTGAGCTATGAATAGGAGGTGAAGGAGAAGCAGTTCCTGTTTCTTTTTACTCATATAAATCGGATGTTAATTTGGTAGCAATAAGGAGAATAGTTTTTCACATAACGTATTGTATCGAAACAACATCAAGATATAGTAGATATCTTCCAGACATCTTTATTGAAACGTATCATTTGAAAAAGGAACTCAGTACCTTCCTGGATTATTATGCTTCAGATGAGATTAAAATTGCGGGAATTGGGAAGACGACGACTATTCAATTCAATGAACGAAACCGGCATTCAAGTGAACTCTGATCTCCTAAGTTCTTATCTTAGTGTCACCGTTTATTTACTCACAATAACATCTCTGTTATGCTAATCGCTTTTGAAATTTTGTTTATACTTACTAAACGCTTCCAAAGTGACATTTGTCGACCAATATACTGTAATAAAAAATGGGGTCGTCTTCATTGGTATAACATCTGTTACAACTAATATATATGTAATATTAGCTTGAAGCATAGCTGTGAATTCCACATAATTATGAGTACGACAACCGTAATATTTGACTGGAATCTGATTTCTTCGTGGCTGTATTGGATCGAATTGATGTTTGTAGATATACAGTGGTACAGTCATCTTTTCTCTTTCAGTAGAAAAGGCATAAACTGCATTTGTCGGTACAGTTAGTCGAACAGCTTCATAGTAATAAGGTGACATGTTGCAGTCTTTATAGTATGTTTTACTATCATTTGTTATTTGTGATGAGTATGTCGAGGAAATAATCGAAGACGCATCTATTCAGAAGAATAATAGTTTGATGGAGGTTTCTTGGTCTAGTTCTAATTGGTATCTATAAGACTCTCGTGGAATGAACACAAAAGACTTCTTTTTCCCGTTTTGTTTTTTTCTCAATCTGCTGCTTACTTTTTATCTATCATGTTTCTCACCCAACACCGGAGACCGTAAAGGTCTATATGTATATTCAAAAGAACAACCAATTATCAGTTGTATAACAGTAATAAGCTTGGTTTTCTATATGGCTGATTTTGACTAATATACAATTCATACTTACTGACAGGCTGAAAAGTGACCTTGTTTTTACCAAGTATTTCAATTGAAAAATGTCCTGTCATAAATTCGGAACATGTTGTTACCACCAATATATATCGAGTATCATTCATCATTCTAACAGTAATCGGATCATGATAACCTTGACAGCCATTATCCATGTTCGAGAGTACGTTTATAAATGGAACCTCTGGAAAAAACTCATGCTCATATATATATTTTGATATAACCATAGATTCACAGCTGGTGCTGCCAAGGATTGTATAAAAATCATTTTCAATCACGTTCAGTTGTATTGATCTATAACTAGTTTTTATATAACCCGAACAAGGATTACGAAGGTATGTCGGATCATCATTTGTCAAGTCAGATGAGTGCACTGATTCCGTAATTGATGCCATTTCTGTTCAACATAAAATAAATTTAAATCAAAATTATCCGTTTTACTAGAGCAATTGTCTCGAGAGTGAAAGCGTAAGAAACTATATATAGAAATAGTTTTTCTTTAAAAAAACACGCTCATTACATGTGAACCATATTGTCAAAGAACAATAATCTATCACAAACTTCATGTTTTTTTCTTGAATAGGAAATGAACTTTTATCAACTGTATATGTGTTACTTACCCATTCGTCGAAGATGAACGCTATTTGAACCGAATATGATGATTGAAAATGGGCCTATCACATTCTGTTCATATGTTGTTACAACTAGTACGTATTTCAAACTGTTTTGAAGTTCAAGTGTAAATTTAAACTGATCTTTATTGCAACATTTACCATACCATGCAAGAAGGTTTGCTGTGGGATTGAATCGGTCGAAATGATCTTTGTATACAAAACCGTAAAGATCGATACTACTGTTGGCAGTGATAACATAAAAGTCATTCTTATAGACAATTATTTCTATAGATTCAAAATAATAATATGGATGATCGAATAAAGTACGTGAAAACATTGTATGATTGTATGTTAAAAAAGATGAATATGTTGTTTCAGTTGTGGATGGAACATTAACTAAATAAATCAAAACTTTCGTGCTAACTACTGTTGATTCGGTGTAATACGTTTTTACAATCATTTATAAACGGAATATCAACGAGTCTAAAGTCTCACTATAGGGAATTCGATAGTGTGTTTGAATAATAGTTGATAACAATCTCACCTATTAGTATAATAAAAACTCAATAATTATTGTCCTGCGATAGTATTGTTTTCGCTGATAGTGAGATTAAGCATTCTTGGATGATCATCTAGCTATACCAAAGCAAAGTACTGAAATAAAGATACTAATTTAAAATACTGGTTTGATTTTATATCGGATAGTAACGGTGATGATAGAATGGGTGCTCTAGTGTGTAAAGTTATCAATATTGCGAAAGGAAACTTGAATCGGACGTTATGGGATTATCATACCACCACAAAAATCACTCACAATACAGCGTTTTCATGCTGATATACGATACTCAGACTTCTCTGCAAATCGGAGAATTCAAAAGTCTTCATCAACAACAAAATACATTTTCGGCACTTACCACAAGAATCTTTTTGTAGAGTAAATCTTTGAATTCGTCTACCGTTTGCATCACAAACAAATAAATTTCCATTCACATCGAAACTTAATCTAGATGGGTACAAAAGTCGATATTCTTTTATTTCTTTCGCAATACATCCAAGTAAACATTGAAATCCATGTGGTCCTGATCGAACTACACGGCCATTTCCATAGTCCAGGATAAAAAGATATTTTTCATGATCTAATACAATTGACCAAGGATCCAACAGTGAGATTGTAAAATCCAATGAACCTTGTCCTGCTACTGTCGTTGCATTTCTTTCACCTGAATGAAACAATTGAATTCGATTATTTCGCCCATCTGCGACATATAAATCCAAATTTGTATCAACAAAAATCCCTGTGGGATAGCTTAATTGATATGCAGCAGAGCCTCCAGAGCCTGTACCAGCTACAATCACTATATCCGTTTTCTTATCCTTGTACAAGGACCTTTTTATAACAACATGCTCCCAAACCATTGAACAATATAAATTATTATTGACATCGATAAAAAGATCAGCACATATGGACTCACCATTCATAACATGAACAAAGCTATCTGTACTTGCTATCCATTTAGAAATTGTATTATTAAGATAAGCAATATAAATATCACCATTATCGATTACGAACATAGATAATATTTCTACCTTAGATAAGTAGCTAATCGATTTCGGATGAGAACGATCCTTATACCAAACTGATATGACATCTTCTTTTCCAGAATTAACGTATATTGTATTGTTTGTATCAATAAACAGAATAAGCGGTAGACTTCTAAGCATTTCTGTAGCAGTGATTTCTGTAGCAGTGAACCGTTCTCCTTTCAAATTCCATTTTACTGTTGGACAAAATTTTGGTTGATTAAATGAAACAGCTACAATTGAAATGAAACGAAATTAAAATTTCTCAAAAATATAATTAACACAGATGAATAATTAGTTCATTTTTTATCATTACCTAATATTTCATTGATTAGAATCGTCAGAATTAAAACACGAATCATATTGAGATGATTAAACTTGAAAGTCGTCAGACAATAATCTTTACACCATGAAATAAAGTAAATGAGATTTCTTGTGCCTGATATTTTCTTTATTTATATCCTTGTCACACTATATCGATCATACTTCAAAACTCCAATATCTTCGCATATTAAAATTTTTTATTTTGCTTAAAAATAATAAATCTAATATGATTATGCATATTGAATTATAAAATGACAATATTTGATTTATCACGTGAACATGATATTCCAAAAATTTTTAACAGCAAATAATATATAAACTCTAACACAGCAATAATATGATTTTTCTTTAATCACGTTCTTTTTTGAACCCAAGTCAAAGAGTACGGGCCGGTTCCCATAGAAAAGCACCAGAAATCACTGAAACATGGAAGCAGTATTTCGACCGGAAATTTCGGGATTTTTTCCGATGATTCCCGGTTAGTTCCTGTCGGAAAGCACATGAAACCCACTGAAATTCACCGGAAAAAATCCCAAAATTTTCGGTCGGAATACTGCTTCCATGTTCCAGTGTTTTCCGGTGCTTTCCTGCAGGATCCCAAGGGATCCGGACGCCGGAACGTACGACATGGAAATGTGACCTTTCTCTTGAGTCATATCTTTTCAATCTATGAATACTCCTATATGTACTCTCTATTGAAAATTTGTTATAATTTATTTAGTCTCATATATTTCTTGATTAGATTATTTAAAAATTTGAATAAAAAATTATCTTTTTCAAGTAAAATCGATTCTATATTATCGATTATTGTTATTTGAGGAAGATTGATGTTGAATCGATAAACAATTTTGAATAAATTGAATCGAATTAGTATTTGGAACACTTTCCACCCGTAGTTTCCATAAAGAATTTGAACTTAATGTTTCCTTATTTCCAAAAACAATCATTGCACCTTTTGTTCGTGTTAAAAATACATTCATTCATTGTTGATTATCCAAAAAAATCAATTCCACAATCATCATTTGATGGTACTAATGGTATAAGAATAATGTGATATAGTGGAATAGTCCCTATCATCTAACAGTACATGATGTGGAATTATCCATATATCTGAACATTATGTGTCATGGGCTTTATCCTATTCTGTTATGGTTTTGTCCAACACACGCATGTATATATAGCTGTCGTTCTATGCATGTTATATATATATATTCTTACATCTATATATCTCCTGTTCTCTCTATACCTGTTGTGTTTCTTCCTTCTCTCTTCTTAATAAATAATGGACGTTTTCCTAAACTCATATTCATTAACCTTCACGACGTGACAAATAATTTCTTTTCCATCTCCTTGAAAACCATTAATCATTGGGACTACAAGACCTTTTGGAATTTGATTCTTTCCTAGTTTTTCTGCAATTTCTTTTACTTGTTTTGCACGGGTCGCAATCACTTTGCCGACAAAAATTTTATAAAAATATAACTACTAAAAGCAGTTTTGAAATTCAACAATTTAGTAGCATGATTCATTGTTATGTTCTCCTCTTACTTATATAGGTACATATATGTATATACAACATCTTTGATAAACATGCATCGTTTCTTTCTTCTCTCCTCATCACATGTGATACTCTCCAAATGCTTTTTCGAACCTTGTTTTCGATTATTTTGTTCTTTATGGTTATTTCTGAACGTAACAAGATCAACAAGTCACTGATCCTACATATTATCCTACACAAATATTTTGTCCATACAGACTATGATACTAAAGAACTTGAGAATAAACATGACTCATAGAGAGTGCATGGCGTGAAAAACATGTGATGAACGTATGAGATGACGTCATGGAATATCTTAAGGAACAAGTAACGCTCGTCTAGCGACTCGCTCAGCTCTTTCTCGTAGAAATCGTGCTTTCAAATATTACACTTTAAAGCTATTATTGTGTACATTAATTTATTTTTAGTGTAGATTATATATTTTCACGAAAGTAGTAATAGATATTTATACCAAATATCAAATTGAGAATCAGACATTCTAAATAAGTGTCAATACAATTAAGTAGATTATGAATTATAAAATGAAAAAAGAAAATAAGAAAAGACGATAGGATATGTCTGCTACAATTAGAGAAAAGAAACGATTACTACAACAATTAAGATTAATGTGAAGAAAGAAGTTAAAAAAAATGAACATATACGAATAATTATTTTAAGATGATTTGAAAAGTGATAATACATTTTATATGCTTGTAATAACACTAAACTCTTAACAGTGTATCGATTTACACACGTTCAAAAAGCGGAAGAGGTACATTCTCGTTTTCTTTTTTTGTCAAGTTCATCTAGACGTCTCTCTTCAGCGTCTTGAGCAACAAAGGGTCGAACTAGTAAACAAGTTATAAATGTTTTTCTGAAAATCGGTATCCTTGGTTTGAAAAATTTTTTTTTCATTCTCAAAAAAATAACATCAGATCTCTTCTCTTCGACCTCAAAATCTCTGCGGTAAAATTTTATGAAAAAAACACTTTTTGTAAAAAATTGGGTCTTTGTCTCAAAAAAATCTTTTTATGAAAAATTTCCAAAAAATATCATCAGATTCGAAGTCTCCGCATCGAAATATATCTGGAAATGTCTTTTCGGAAAAATCGATTTTCAATGTTTTTTTGACCCTGCGGACATACAAACAAGCAAGCAAACAATTTATGTTTCTAAGACTCTTCTCTACGAGAAAGAGAATACTCGGATCCAGCATCGGATTTGTTGACCTGGGTATATGTATATGTATAGAAATGGAAGAAAAACAACAATGTAGAAGGTAGCGTCATGAAGTAATATCCAATGACGCTAACATTACAGCGATAAACTTTTTCATTCAATCCAGGAGATTCACAATGACTCATGGTAGAGACGTGAGTGACTCAAAGATCTGATGACGTGATAAAAGAAAGAAAATAAATTGCTAGTCGTGTTTCACCGTTTGTAGGCGAGAAAAACATGTTCTTGCACAACGTGTGTAAAGTCTTATTTTTCAAAGGGAAACAATGATATGATACATATCTCTTTCTACTATAATTTAGATGAATGCAGAAATAGATGTCACAGTTGTACTGTATTGTCGTAATTGCAAACGAACATTCAAAAATGGCGAACACTGGTACAGTTGTCTGACATGTAGCAATTATAATCTTTGTCATATATGTAAAGTGACAAATCCATCAGTACACAAGCATGATTTTGTTTGTAAGTTTTTGATGGATTATGGCATAGAAAAGATTTGCACAAGAATCGATCTGGCCAGTCGAATCTTGACAGCAATTGATTTCAATTGGCAAAAGCCATGTTTTGGTACAAGAGATAGATCGAGCACAAATCCAGACGAATATTTAGATTCATATTCGTGGCAAACATTTGCAGCAGTGGGTGATCGAATCAAGAAGTTCAGTTTTGGATTGCAAAACTTGATGCAATCACGTGAATACTTAGGCATCTGTGCAGCGAATCGACCGGAATGGATTATTACGGATCTTGCATGTCTTCTACAAAGTATTGTTAGTGTACCAATTTATTGTCAATTAAGCAATCGTGAACTCGCGTTCATTATTAATAATACGTGTATATCAGTGATTGTATGTGATCGCGAGATGTTACTTAGATTTATAGAAATTCATTCCCAATGTTCAACATTTAAACATCTTATTTGCATGGATCCCGTTCCTGAAACTCTTTCTAGTAAATAAACAGTGTGTGACATCGATATGCTTCAACAATGTATTGTTATACTTTTAGGAACGAGCAGTCTTAGTATTCATTGTATGAACGATATTGAAAATAAGAATTCAACTAAATTACGAGAGTATGTCATTAATCAACCCGATGATTGTGTAACCATTGTATATACAAGTGGAAGCTCGGGGTTTCCAAAGGGCGCAATGTTATCTGAAAAAGTTTATCGAGCGACGTATCCAATACGACGCATTTCGTCGACTGAAGAACGTGTACGTTTTTGTTATCGACCATTAGCATGGATTACTGATCGCAAGGGTGCTATTGCGACCTTTTTAGAAGGAGGATGTACTGGATTTTCAACGGGTAATGTAACTCGATTGATGGAGGAGTTAACATTGATTGCGCCAACATTTTTCTCCGCACCTCCTACGTTTTGGAATAAGATCTACTCGGAGTTTCACACGACACTTTCGATGTCAACAAGCGCAACTGAACAGCAACTTTTGGAAAAGTTTTCAAAGCTCATTCCGGCACGATGTCGAGTAATTTCTATCGGTGGTGCTATGACTAGTCCAATTGTGTTGAAATTCATCGAGCAATGCTTCTCACATTGTAAAATAGTCGAAGCTTATGGAACAACGGAGTGTGGACGAATTACATTCAATTATACGTTTTTATCAACAATGATCGACTATCGTCTTGAATCAGTGAATGAAATGGGATACACAATCGAAGATCGACCATACCCACGTGGAGAATTACTAGTTAAAACTACTCAGATGTTTTCCGGATATATTAATAATATTGAAGAAACGCAAGCTGCTTTGACTGAAGATGGGTTCTTTCGCACTGGTGATATTGTTGAGCTGCGTGGGAAAATAGACGGCAAACCTGATCTCCATGTAGTCGACCGAAAGAAAAATTTCTTTAAACTGGCTCAAGGACAATTTGTCTCGCCTGAATCTCTCGAAGGCATCTATCTACAAAGTTTATTTATCGATCAAATTTATATCTATGGAGATGGTCTTGACAACTGCGTAAAAGCAGTTATCGTGCCCAACGAAGAATATGTGCGACGACTTACAGAAGCTCATGACTTGAGTGAAACGGATTCGCATGATTTCGTTTATAATGCAATTATGAATGATCTGCGAACCATCGGTGTTAAAGAATCACTGCAAAAGTATGAAATTCCATCGAAGATAATTCTAGAATCTCAACCGTTCACACCAGAAAATGGTCTTTTGACATTATCCATGAAGCTTTGCCGTTATAAATTAGCCGCACATTATGCAGATCGATTAAAAGAGAATAGAACTGTCGATGATCGGATAAAAGACATGATCGAATCCATTACTGGACAACAATTGCCAATAGGTCAGAACAGACCTATTTCTATCACGATGGGTGCAGATTCATTGACAGGTTTACGACTATCACATATGATTCGGAAGGATCTAGGTGTATCTATACCACTTCAGGTCTTATTCGACTCGAATATGACTTTGCAACGACTTGCCAATTTCGTTAAAGATCCTTCGCAATCATTACCTTCATCGACTGAAGCCATTATGTCGCAATTATTAAACGGTGCGAAACTGGAATTAAATATTACTGTCAAAGGACTTAGAATTGAGTCTGCTTGTCCAACAAGAATTTTTCTTACTGGAGCAACTGGATTTGTTGGTGCCTTTATTCTTGCAGAAATGCTTCGAATTCATCCGGTCTGCTGCAAATTTGTATGTTTAGTTCGTTGTAAATCTCTGTCGGTCAGTCCTCTCCATCGTATTCGTGAAAACATGATATTTCTTCAGCTATGGAAGGAAGAATATCAAGAACGACTTCTTCCTCTTCAAGGTGATCTAGCTGAAGATCGTTTTGGTCTTGATACGAATACATACGCAGATCTCGTCGATCAGATCGACCTCATTGTTCATTGCGGTGCAACAGTTAATTTTGTTTTACCATACAATATACTCTATCGTCCAAATGTTCTCGGCACTCTCGAAGTCATTCGTTTTGCGTGTCATGTCTCTTTAGCATGTATACCAATACAGTACATATCAACTATGAGCGTTTTACCTTCCAGAATGACACATGACACATCAGTTGATATGATTCCTCCGGATCATCTTAGAAATGGATATTCACAGAGTAAATGGGTGGCAGAAAAACTAGTAGCAAAAGCGCAACGTCTCGGGCTTCCTATTGCTATCTATCGACTTGGATCGATTGGTGCTCATACTCTAACAGGTGCCTGCAATCGACATGACATCAATACGTTAATCATCAGCACTATAATGAAAATGAGCTGTTATCCTGAAAGTTTGGTTAAGAGAAGATTGAAAGAACTATCAGTCGATCTGGCCGTGCAAGATATTGCTTCATTAGATCACCTTCAATTGAACAGTTATCAGAAAATCTATCATGTTGCAAATACAACCAATGGAATATCATTTCGTGATGTTATTGAAACGATTCGTAATTGTGATATTGAACTCGAATGCGTCTCTGATCTTGAATGGGGCGCGCGGTTGTCATCGCCAGAAAACCAGACCGATACATTAGAGAATGCCAGAGAAGTTCTCTTGCATTACGCGATCGCACCGACTGTTGAACAAGAAGATAATCCAATACCGCAGTTAGATTTATTATATCCTCAGATGATCAAATGGATCATGTTTATTCGAAATAAGCTTTTATAAACTTTGCCTTTTGCTCAATTCGCTTCAGGTGGGTGTCTCTAAATGTTATTTATCTTCTTGTTCAGTGACATTTTCCGGAGCAAGTGTGACGCCATTCGTCACTGAAGTTTGCTTATCAAACGAAGTTTTTCTTTGATGAGCAAAATAAACAGATTCCGCCGCAAAATAAAGAATGACGTTCACTGTTATGCCAACAGTGTACAACGTTATAAAATGCCTTGCATCCCAGTCAATAACATCACCTGAAACAAAAATAGAGATTGTCGAGGAAATTAGAACATCTTTCCTAGACTAAATGAGTTTTACCAGATATTTTCGAGAAAAGAACTCCACCAATTGCTTCGCTGCTGTACAGATAAGCGAGAGCAACATGTGTCACTTGCATTCGTTCACTGATGTACGCCATCGATAAAGGAAATAGCGCTCCCAAGACCGCACCAGCAGCAGCGCCAAGAATACATAAACTTGTGCTCGTCGCGCCAACTACCCAGATAACGATCAACCAGATAATACCAACACACAAACCGCTAGTTAGAATGACACTTAAAATTATACTGGTTGCCACATAAACACAAAGAATTGCTACAGGAATTCGACTCGCCTAGATTCAAATAGATATAGTATCTCTATCGTGTTCACTAAACTTTGTGTACATACAGCATTCGTTAGCCAAAACAGAATGTTGTCTAGATTCGCTTCGCTATTTGATACATTGAATCGATCCGATTTGAGAAAGGTGAAGTAGAACGCCGGAAATCCTAGTTCATTTCCACCAACAGCAATGATATAACAAATGAAAATGGTACAAAGCGTTAAGCCATATCGATAATCTCCATAGCCAAACGTTCGAGGAGAATACGGCGATGGAACTTCTTCATCTTGTCCTTCATTGGATGTCAGTGTACCGTAGTCACTCTAAATAGTATTTACATCTAATAATTATTACGAATGTGCTTCTAATATTCTGAATACTACCTGTTTGAATTCTAATCTTTCTCTCTTATTTTTCGCTTCTCGAGAGGCGAAGAATAGATGTCCGAGAGCGATCAAAGCACATAAACCTCCGGTGATAAAATACGGAATATTGATATTAAACTGTGCACTTTTGGTTGCGCTGACAACAGTTAAGGTCGAATTGATTCCGCTAACATTGGTATCGTTATGAGACGCCGCTTGTTTCGTAAGAAATGGATAAATGAATAGATATACGAAAACACCTCCCATTCCAACACCCGCACGGGCGGCACTAAAAGGTGCTGCAAAATATAAGTTCCACATTGTTAGTAAGATGTGAGTTGCGCATAGATCTGTTAAACCATAAGTTATTCCTTGCAAGAAGAATAGACCTGTCATTAATACCATTATTTTGACAAATGGAACGCTGAACATCACTAAAATATACACAATGTCACAGTATCAATTCGATATTTCATTTAGTTTATTCGTACCGATTGTTGCAAGGACGAATGCAACAGTCAGAATAGGGTACGCATATTTCTTGATGGCTCCATGTTGAATAATAACGAATAGATTTGCTATCAAATAACCGAAATTTCTTGCGGCAACAACGGACCCCATTTGACTATAACTAACATTCATATTTATTGCTATTGTCGGCATTGTCGGACCAATTAACTGGACTTGAAAATTCTACTTATACGAACAAAGTTTATAAAATCTCTCAAAGTTTTTTACAATTACCATCACTAACCAAGTGAGAAAAAGATATCCCGTCTGAATTACTTTCCATGAGTCAGAGAAATAGATCCTCCAATCTAGTTGTCGTTGACTACTGGCTTCTTTGCACATGTAGCACACATACAAATATACCGTTTGGATATATAGATCGTTCGCAAGAAAAAAAACGTACGAATGAAACGAAAAAGAATATGACTGAGTGCGTGCACCACGTTTGTTTTGCTGTTACACATGCAAATTCGATATAAATACAATGATTGTTTGTGTATACAATAAAAAAGGCTCTCTTTTTCTGTTCTGATTTACCTGTATATTATAAACGTATCATCAAAATCATTAGACAGTATGACACTATGAACGGTGGTACAACGTATTTTTGGCCTTCGTTATTTAAATTCGACACAAACACCATAATTTTAAACTCACAGTTTAATTTATATTTACATATGGCATTCACGTAATCAAAAGAGTGACGCGATTTCTTTTTTGGATGTAAGTGTACTATGTATTCACATTTGGCGTTACAAATATGCTTAAGAGCGACCAAGTCGCAGCTATGTCTTTGGACAGTTTTATTTTGGAAATGCGAATACAACATGTTATTTCGTTTCGCTTTCAAGACTTTCAGGTAGAAGTGTTGCGGTTGCTGTGTCAGAAGATTGTGCACCGAAAATGTTTTTTCTTCGATGAAAGTAGTAAACGCCATTTGAAAGAATATAGAGAAGAATTGCTGCCAACGTGGAGATAAAAAATAATGTCGGGAAATAATTTGGACCGTGATCCATTATATAGCCTAACAGATACCAGTTTAAAAAGAATTATTTTGCAAGTTGGATCAGTTTTTACCTGTTGTTTGGTGAAACACTAGTGCACCTAGTGCCGAACCAGCATAAACGTAAGCGATAAGTACGGGCGTCACTTTTAATCGTTCGTTGATAAATGCCAATGATAATTGAACCAGCGGTGCCATTGCTAATCCAGTAAAGGTGCCGAGAATAAGCAATTGAGCAACTGTCCAGTCACTACTCCATATCCAGAGGAACCACAGAACTGCAACATATAAAGTACCAAACCAGGCTATATTCGATAGAGTAAATGTGGAAAAGTATATAGCTAAAACACATATCAGTAATCGACCGACCTAAGTATGAAAACAAAAAACCGTTTTCAAGTCTTTGTTCGTATATTTCACGAAGTCGTTTGTGTTACGCAAACGATTTCGAACACATACTATATTTGCTATACAAAACAGGATATTACCCCAGTTAGCAGCACTGTTCGATAACTTCAGTTTATCAAGTTTTAAATAAGTGAAAAAGAACAATCCAAATGTGTGTTCATTTCCACCGACGAAAAACATGTAACAAACGAAAAGGACACAAAGCGTTAAGCCATATCGATAATCTCCATAGCCAAACGTTCGAGGAGAATACGGCGATGGAACTTCTTCATCTTGTCCTCCATTAGATGTCAGTGTACCGTAGTCACTCTAAATAGTATTTACATCTAGTGATTATTACAAATGTGCTTCTAATATTCTGAATACTACCTGTTTGAATTCTAATCTTTCTCTCTTATTTTTCGCTTCTCGAGAGGCGAAGAATAGATGTCCGAGAGCGATCAAAGTACATAAGCTTCCTGCGATTAAGTACGGACCAGTGATATTGAACTTTCCATTGCTCATATGGCTTACAGATGATCCGGTCTCAATAAGAAACGGACGAACAAGCAGAATTGCCAGGAGAGCACCGATTCCATAGCCGGTACGAATAGCGCCTAAGGGTGGTGCTGAATGAATACCCCATATTGTCATTAAAAGATAAGTTCCAGCTGGAAAATAAGTGAATGACATTATACTTCGGGATAAGATATAGATCATTTCTACTGACCTATATCTGTTAAGCTCATGGATACTCCTTGAAAGAAAAAAAGAACACACAAAAGTATCATTGACTTCACAAATGGAACACTGAACATGACTAAAAAAGAAAACAAACGAGCTTTACAAGCATTTTCTTTTTCACTCATTCAATACCAATAGCTGGTAAAATGAATCCACATGTCAAAACAGGATATGAATGGTTGTCAATTGTATGTTGAAAAAAAATTCCAAGACAATTCACGATTAAATAACCCAAATTTCTGGCTACAGTCGCAGTACCCATTTCAGTATAATGACTATTAATATTTGCTGCTAGTGTTGGTATTGTTGGCCCAACTAGTTCGACATGAAAACCCTATTTCAACGAAAATCGTATGATGTTCTCTAACGTTTTCAAACTTACCAAGACAATCCATGTCAAAATAATGTATCCAGTTTGTATTGATTTCCACGGACAACTGAAATAAGTGCTGAATTTTGATTGTCGTGGGGGGAAAAGCTCTGTGGACATCTATCACAGATATTTCAGTTTATTATCGATATAGCTGACGGGCAAAATTACAATCGAAGGGAAAAATAAGTGTCGTCTACGTCTACTGTTTTCACCATGTGTACGTTTTTCTATTGCAAGCATCGATCAGACAAACACGATCGTCATCGATACACATACAAATCATGTATATTCCTTTGCCTTACAATCATTCACCTGTAAACCATAAGAATATTGACAAACGATGAGCATTGTGCAACAAAAAGGACGATCAAGCAACTCCATTTCAATATAAATGTCCCATATCATTCTTTTTATCAAATTTATTAAATGGAAACAAAAACAAATGTTATTAATCATTTTGATTTCTTAAATAATCGCTCATCTCCTATTCCTCTAGACTGATACGCTCAGGTAAGAACGGAGCACCATTGATAACTGAGCCACGTGCGTTCGATGAAGTTTTTCTTCGGTGAACGAAATGAATGACATTCGATGCAATATAAAGAATAATCGACATCAGCATACAAATGATCAACAATGTCGGGAAATGATTGGAATTACGATCCATTATCAAACCTAAAGATCGAGATAATCGAAAATGAACTAGATCGATTTCAGTAGAATCTATATTACCAGCTAGTTTCTGGAATGTGATAGCTCCGAGCGCTGAACCACACAGAAGTAATGCAACAAGTACGGGCGTTGTTTCCAATTGTTGATTAATTGTACCGAATGACAGAGGAAATATTGGTGCTAAAACTAAGCCAGTGGCAGCACCGAGAATGAACAAACTTGTGCTTGTTAAACCAATTGTCCATACGAAAACAAGCCAAGCAATAGCAAGGGATAAACCGGCAAACCAAGCGATATTCAAACACATATTCACCGATAAAATCACCGAGAATATCGCTCCAAGCAATCGACCGATCTATAGTTGAAAAAGTCTTATATATATCAATACTTGAATTTACTTCTCTACATACCGAATACGAAAGCCAATAAACGATAATACCCCAACTTGCAGCACTATTCGAAATATGAAATCGTTCTGATGTCAGATATGTAAAGAAGAATTTTGAGAATGTTTGATCATTTCCACCAAGGAAAAAGAAGTAAGCAATGAATACAGCCGATAGAATCAATCCATATTGAAAATATCCCCGTCCACATGTTCGTGGCGAATAAGGAGAAGATGGTTGTTTTTTGACCGAAGTACTACTTCTCTCTGGATTCGTACTAACCACATCATAATTCATCTAAAATCAAAAAATAAATAGAAATTTGAGTTCGAGTATCCAATATTCATACCGATTGAACAATAAGCTTTTCTCGTCGATTTTTCAATTCCCAAATATAAAAGAACGTATGACCGCAAGCAATGACAGCACACAGAACTCCCGTAATCACATATGGAATCACAATATTTGATTTATTACCAGACGGTACCGTTGAATCCACTGTTTCGTTTGTCACAACAATAAACGTTGGTTTCTCTCGGCTGAGAAATGGACGAACAAGTAGATTCACAAAAACAGCACCTATACCATAGCCTAAATGCGCTGTATTTAATGGCGCTGTAGCATGTACACCCCAGATCGTTAATAAAATATTCGTTCCGCCTGTAAATAAAGAAGAAAAAAAAAACTCATTTCATCTCGAAAAAGGAGCACATTAGAAGTGCACCTAAATCTGAGAAGCCTTGAGCAGCTCCTTGAGTAAAAAATAACAGACACATCAATACCCATGATGTTACAAACGGTGTGATAAACATGACTGAAACGAATAAAAAACTGATTATAATAAATGCATGTATTTAATAATCGTTTACCCAAAGCGGGAATGATGAAAGCAAGTATCAACAGCGCATAGGAATGTTGTTTAACAATATTTTGTAGAACAATGCCGAGAATATTCGCAGCGAAATAACCCGCACTTCTCGAAGCTAAAATCGAGCCCATTCCATTGTAAAGAACGTTGATATTCGATGCCACTGCTTGCATTGTCGGGCCAATTATTTCCAAATGAAATCCCTGTTGGATTTCAAAAAAGATCTTTCATTTCTTCATGTTGATGGAAACACAAACTTACCAAAGTGATCCATGTTAGAACAAGAAATCCTGTTTTAACAAGATTCCACGGATGATCTAGATAAACTTTTATTCCTGATGCTTTTTGTTCCAACGATTCAACCGCCATCTAATAAAGTTACTGTCGAGTATCACAGCAAACCGAATGGAATTACGTTTCTTTTTTTTCGATTCAATCACAGAACATACGTATGTTTGTACAAGCACAAAAAAAACAGAATAAACTCTACGTGAAGAGAGAAAAAAAAGAAACATTTTGTAACTGAAATTCATTCAAATATGCCATGTACTTTGTTCAATGCGAAAGTTAAACGAAATAAAAAGCAAGTATTTAAACGAATAAATTAATCTACAATTTAATTTAATCAAGAAAAAGCGCTGAATAATTTATGCGATTATTTATTCGAACTGACGTGATAGATCGTTTGTTGCAGTGATTAACAAATCCCAGCGGACTTCATGTGTAATTTGTGAATAGTAGGCAAGACATTTTTTTTCTTTTATTTCTCTAGAGAGAATCAGTAGAGTACCTATGATTACATCGTTTTTTTGTTCTTTATTAACGTTTGTAATAGAGAGCAATTGTCATTCTGGCAAACATTCGCTATTTAAAAAAAGAAATTCAATGATCTAGTACGAGCGTGCTTCTCGCTGCGTACATAGACGCGTGCCTTTTTCTTCAACAAGTTGTCCTTTCTCTTTGTTGAAAAAAAAAGAAATGTAATACATGTAAACTTTGCACGACTTCCGCATTTAAGAACATGCTGTTCATCATTATTATGTTCGGATGTTTTACAACAATCTATCATCGACTTTTCCTTTGCATAACGTGATTCCGTTCTGATCTAATTACTGACGTATAACCGATTTAATGAAAATAGGATGTATGATTGATATAGTTGTATTGTATATAGATCTGTTTTGATTGTTCATTAATATTTCAAAATGTACGATTGACATGCAACATCAATGAAGAAAATTCGGAGGCAAATCGGATGAAATAACCGATGATATAGTTAAGAAGTACTTGTATACTTGACCTTTCCATTATCAATATATGCTTGTTATTCGTTGACAAACAAAATAGAAAAATGATACTTTTCATTTCGTTACATCTTCAAAGAGGATGTGTTTATATACTATGAATATGCAGCACGTGGCTGAAACTAATGTAGACAACGTGAGACGCAAGAGAGAGAGAGAGAGAAAGGGAGAGAACTTTTTTCTTTTTTTTCTCTTCCAGCGTTCTGTCAGTGCACTCAAAGCGCGTTGTTCTAGTACGAATGGTCACAGTGTGTCATAAAAGTTCATTGTCGGCATACTCGAGATCAATAAAAACCAAGTGCGAAAATACTCGAGTGTCATATTAAGTGTTCAATCAAAGCTATATGTAGACAGATGAATGGAAAATTTAATTATAGTCGAGAATCGAACGTTCTTGTTCTATTGCTTTGAGAATCGTCATGTTATGAAATGATATCTTATCATCTAACATCTGATAAAAATTCGAACACGAGTTACATCATAGATGAAAACAGAAGTCGTGCGAAACGAGAATGTCAATTCCCGATGAATACCTATGTCCAATTACAAGAGATATCATGACAAATCCTGTTCTATTGATCGAAGATGTACGTTTAAGATTGTATGATGTATTTCGCTGCGAAGAGCAATTTTTGAATACTTTAGGGATATTCATATGAAGAGAATGCTTTGAAATCTTGGCTCGAAAATCATAACACGTCGCCGATGACGAATAATTTTTTGAAAAATCGAACTTTCNTATCAACGAGTCTAAAGTCTCACTATAGGGAATTCGATAGTGTGTTTGAATAATAGTTAATAACAATATCACCTATTAATATAATAAAAACTCAATAATTATTGCCCTGCGATAGCATTGGTTTCGCTGATAGTGAGATTAAGCATTCTTAGATGATCATCTAGCTATACCAAAGCAAAGTACTGAAATAAAGATACTAATTTAAAATACTGGTTTGATTTTATATCGGATAGTAACGATGATGATAGAATGGGTGCTCTAGTGTGTAAAGTTATCATTATTGCGAAAGGAAACTTGAATCGGATGCTATGGGATTAGCATATCACCACAAAAATCACTCACAATACAACGTTTTCGTGCTGATATACGATACTCAGACTTCTCTGCAATCCAGAGAATTCAAAAGCCTTCATCAACAACAAAATACATTTTCGACACTTACCACAAGAATCTTTTTGTAGAGTAAATCTTTGAATTCGTCTACCGTTTGCATCACAAACAAATAAATTTCCATTCACATCGAAACTTAATCTAGATGGGTCATAAAGTCGATATTCTTTTATTTCTTTCGCAATACATCCAAGTAAACATTGAAATCCATGTGGTCCTGATCGAACTATACGGCCATTTCCATAGTCCAGGATAAAAAGATATTTTTCATGATCTAATACAATTGACCAAGGCTTCAACAGTGAAATTGTAAAATCCAATGAACCTTGTCCTGCTACTGTCGTCGCATTTCTTTCACCCGAATGAAACAATTGAATTCGATCATTGTGCCGATCTGCGACATATAAATCCAAATTTGTATCAACAAAAATCCCTATGGGACTGCTTAATTGATATGCAGCAGAGCCTCCAGAGCCTGTGCCAGCTACAATCACTATATCCGTTTCCTTATCCTTGTACAAGGACCTTTTTATAACAACATCCTCCCAAGCCATTGAACAATATAAATTATTATTGACATCGATAAAAAGATCAGCACATATGGACTCACCATTCATAACATGAACAAAACTATCTGTACTTGCTATCCATTTAGAAATTGTATTATTAAGATAGGCAATATAAATATCACCATTATCGATTACGAATATAGATGATATTTCTACCTTAGATAAGTAGCTAATCGATTTCGGATGGGAATGATCCTTATACCAAACTGATATGACATCTTCTTTTCCAGAATTAACGTATATTGTATTGTTTGTATCAATAAACAGAATAAGCGGTAGACTTCTAGACGTTTCTGTAGCAGTGAACAGTTCTCCTTTCGAATTCCATTTTACTGTTGGACAAAATTTTGGTTGATTAAATGAAACAGCTACAATTGAAATGAAATAAAATTAAAATTTCTCAAAAATATAATTAACACAGATGAATAATTAGTTCATTTTTTACCATTACCTAAGATTTCATTGATTAGAATCGTCAGAATTAAAACACGAATCATACTGAAATGATTAAACTTGAAAGTCGTCAGACAAGAATCTTTGCACCATGAAATAAAGTAAATGAGATTTCTTGTACATGATATTTTCTTTATTTATATCCTTGTCACACTATATCGATCATATTTCAAAACTCCAATATCTTCGCATATTAAAATTTTTTATTTTGCATAAAAATAATAAATCTAAGATGATTACGCATATTGAATTATAAACTGACAAGATTTGATTTATCACTTGAACATGATATTCCAAAATTTTTAACAGAAAATAATATATAAACTCTAACACAGCAATAATATGATTTTTCTTTAATCACGTTCTTTTTTGAACCCAAGTCAAAGAGTACGGAGCGGTTCCCATAGAAAAGCACCGGAAATCACTGGAACATGGAAGCAGTATTTCGACCGGAAATTTCGGGATTTTTTCCGATGATTCCCGGTTAGTTCCTGTCGGAAAGCACATGAAACCCACTGAAATTTACCGGAAAAAATCCCAAAATTTCCGGTCGGAATACTGCTTCCATGTCCCAGTGTTTTCCGGTGCTTTCCTGCAGGATCCGGACGGCGGAACGTACGACATAGAAATGTGACCTTTCTCTTGAGTCATATCTTTTCAATCTATGAATACTCCTGTATGTACTCTCTATTGAAAATTCGTTATAATTTATTTAGTCTCATATATTTCTTGATTAGATTATTTAAAAATTTGAATAAAAAATTATCTTTTTCAAGTAAAATCGATTCTATATTATCGATTATTGTTATTTGAGGAAGATTGATGTTGAATCGATAAACAATTTTGAATAGATTGAATCGAATTAGTATTTGGAACACTTTCCACCCGTAGTTTCCATAAAGTATTTGAACTTAATGTTTCCTTATTTCCAAAAACAATCATTGCACCTTTTGCTCGTGTTAAAAATACATTCATTCATTGTTGATTATCCAAAAAAATCAATTCCACAATCATCATTTGATGGTACTAATGATATAAGAATAATTTCTTTTCCATGTCCTTGAAAACCATTGATCGTTCGGACTTCAAGACCTTTTGGAATTCGATTCTTTCCTAGTTTTTGTGCAATTTCTTTTACTTGTTTTGTACGGGTCGCAATCACTTTGCCGACGCCGTTTTGCCGACAAAAATTTTATAAAAATACAACTACTAAAAGCAGTTTTGAAATTCAACAATTTAGTAGCATGATTCATTGTTATGTTCTCCTCTTACTTATATAGATACATATATGTATATACAACATCCTTGATAAACATGCATCGTTTCTTTCTTCTCTCCTTATCACATGTGATACTTTCCAAATGCTTTTTCGAACCTTGTTTTCGATTATTTTGTTCTTTATCAGATTAAGTGATTTGTCTGTGGCCGTTATCTAAAGAGATTCTAGTATCGAGTACAACAAGATAATCGATTCTTTGCCATTCAACTGAAAAACAGTCGGATGTTGTTGAGATACCCAGGTCGAACAATCCCATACTCGGATCCGATCGGATCCAGCATCGGATTTGTTGACCTGGGTATATGTATAGAAATGGAAGAAAAGCAACAATGTAGAAGGTAGCGTCTTGAAGTAATATCCAATGACGCTAACATTACAGCGATAAACTTTTTCATTCAATCAAGGAGATTCGCAATGACTCATGGTAGAGACGTGAGTGACTCAAAGATCTGATGACGTGATAAAAGAAAGAAAATAAATTGCTAGTCGTGTTTCACCGTTTCTAGGCGAGAAAAACATGTTCTTGCACAACGTGTGTAAAGTCTTATTTTTCAAAGGGAAGTACACAATGATATGATACATATCTCTTTCTACTATAATTTAGATGAATGCAGAAATAGATGTCACAATTGTACTGTATTGTCGTAATTGCAAACGAACATTCAAAAATGGCGAACACTGGTACAGTTGTCTGACATGTACCAATTATAATCTTTGTCATATATGTAAAGTGACAAATCCATCAGTACACAAGCATGATTTTGTTTGTAAGTTTTTGATGGATTATGGCATAGAAAAGATTTGCACAAGAATCGATCTGGCCAGTCGAATCTTGACAGCAATTGATTTCAATTGGCAAAAACCATGTTTTGGTACAAGAGATAGATCGAGCACAAACCCAGATGAATATTTAGATTCATATTCGTGGCAAACATTCGCAGCAGTGGGTGATCGAATCAAGAAGTTCAGTTTTGGATTGCAAAACTTGATGCAATCACGTGAATACTTAGGCATCTGCGCAGCGAATCGACCGGAATGGATTATTACGGATCTTGCATGTCTTCTACAAAGTATTGTTAGCGTACCAATTTATTGTCAATTAAGCAATCGTGAACTGGCGTTCATTATTAATAATACGTGTATATCAGTGATTGTATGTGATCGCGAGATGTTACTTAGATTTATAGAAATTCATTCCCAATGTTCAACATTTAAACATCTTATTTGCATGGACCCCGTTCCTGAAACTCTTTCTAGTAAATAAACAGTGCGCGACATCGATATGCTTCAACAGTGCATTGTTATACTTTTAGGAACGAGCAGTCTTAGTATTCATTGTATGAACGATATTGAAAATAAGAATTCAACTAAATTACGCGAGTATGTCATTAATCAACCCGATGATTGTGTAACCATTGTATATACAAGTGGAAGTTCAGGGTTTCCAAAGGGTGCAATGTTATCTGAAAAAGTGTATCGAGCGACGTATCCAATACGACGAATTTCGTCGACTGAAGAACGTGTACGTTTTTGTTATCGACCATTAGCATGGATTACTGATCGCAAGGGTGCCATTGCGACCTTTTTAGAAGGAGGATGTACTGGATTTTCAACGGGTAATGTAACTCAATTGATGGAGGAGTTAACATTGATTGCGCCAACATTTTTCTCCGCACCTCCTACATTTTGGAATAAGATCTACTCGGAGTTTCACACGACACTTTCGATGTCAACAAACGCAACTGAACAGCAACTTTTAGAAAAGTTTTCAAAACTCATTCCTGCACGATGTCGAGTAATTTCTATCGGGGGTGCTATGACTAGTCCAATTGTGTTGAAATTCATCGAACAATGCTTCTCTCATTGTAAAATAGTCGAAGCTTATGGAACAACGGAGTGTGGACGAATTACATTCAATTATACGTTTTTATCAACAATGATCGATTATCGTCTTGAATCAGTGAATGAAATGGGATACACAATCGAAGATCGACCATACCCACGTGGAGAATTACTGGTTAAAACTGCTCAGATGTTTTCCGAATATATTAATAATATTGAAGAAACACAAGCTGCTTTGACTGAAGATGGGTTCTTTCGCACTGGTGATATTGTTGAGTTGCGTGGGAAAATAGACGGCAAACCTGATCTCCATGTAATCGACCGAAAGAAAAATTTCTTTAAACTGGCTCAAGGACAATTTGTCTCGCCTGAGTCTCTCGAAGGCATCTATCTACAAAGTTTATTTATCGATCAAATTTACATCTATGGAGATGGTCTTGATAACTGCGTTAAAGCAGTTATCGTACCCAACAAAGAATATGTGCGACGACTTACAGAAGCTCATGACTTGAGTGAAACGGATTCGCATGATTTCGTTTATAATGCAATTATGAATGATCTGCAAACCATCGGTGTTAAAGAATCACTGCAAAAGTATGAAATTCCCTCGAAGATAATTCTAGAATCCCAACCGTTCACGCCAGAAAATGGCCTTTTGACATTATCCATGAAGCTTTGCCGTTATAAATTAGCCGCACATTATGCAGATCGATTAAAAGAGGATAGAACTGTCGATGATCAGATAAAAGACATGATCGAATCCATTACTGGACAACAGTTGTTAATAGATCAGAACAGACCTATTTCTATCACGATGGGTGCAGATTCATTGACAGGTTTACGACTATCACATATGATTCGGAAGGATCTAGGTGTATCTATACCACTTCAGGTCTTATTCGAATCGAATATGACTTTGCAACGACTTGCTAATTTCGTTAAAGATCCTTCGCAATCATTGCCTTCTTCGACTGAAGCCATTATACCACAATTATTAAATGATGCGAAACTGGAATTAAATATTACTGTGAAAGAACTTAGAATTAAGTCTGCTTGTCCAACAAGAATTTTTCTTACTGGAGCAACTGGATTTGTTGGTGCCTTTATTCTTGCAGAAATGCTTCGAATTCATCCGATCTGCTGCAAATTTGTATGTTTAGTTCGTTGTAAATCTCTGTCGGTCAGTCCTCTCCATCGTATTCGTGAAAACATGATATTTCTTCAGCTATGGAAGGAAGAATATCAAGAACGACTTCTTCCTCTTCAAGGTGATCTAGCTGAAGATCGTTTTGGTCTTGATACGAATACATACGCAGATCTCGCCGATCAGATCGACCTCATTGTTCATTGCGGTGCAACAGTTAATTTTGTTTTACCATACAATATACTCTATCGTCCAAATGTTCTCGGCACTCTCGAAGTCATCCGTTTTGCATGTCATGTCTCTTCAGCATGTATACCAATACAGTACATATCAACCATGAGCGTTTTACCTTCCAGAATGACACATGGCACACCAATTGATACGATTCCTCCGGATCATCTTAGAAATGGATATTCACAGAGTAAATGGGTGGCAGAAAAACTAGTAGCAAAAGCGCAACATCTCGGACTTCCTGTTGCTATCTATCGACTTGGATCGATTGGTGCTCATACTCTAACAGGTGCCTGCAATCGACATGACATCAATACATTAATCATAAGCACTATAATGAAGATGAGCTGTTATCCTGAAAGTTTGGTTAAGAGAAGATTGAAAGAACTATCAGTCGATCTGGCCGTGCAAGATATTGTTTCATTAGATCACCTTCAATTGAATAGTTATCAGAAAACCTATCATGTTGCAAATACAACCAATGGAATATCATATCGTGATGTTGTTGAAATGATTCGTAATTGTGATATTCAACTCGAATGTGTCTCTGATCTTGAATGGCGCGCGCGGTTGTCATCGCCAGAAAACCAGACCGATACATTAAAGAATGCCAGAGAAGTTCTCTTGCATTACGCGATCGCATCGACTGGTGAACAAGAAGATAATCAAATACCGCAGTTAGATTTATTATATCCTCAGATGATCAAATGGATCTTGTTTATTCGAAATAAGCTTTTATAAACTTTGCCTTTTGCTCATATCGCTTCAGGTGGTGTCTCTAAATGTTATTTATCTTCTTGTTCAGTGACATTTTCCGGAGCAAGCGTGACGCCATTCGTTACTGAAGTTTGTGTATCGAATGAAGTTTTTCTTTGATGAGCAAAATAAACAGATTCGGCCGCAAAATAAAGAATGACGTTCACTGCTATGCCAGCAGTGTACAACGTTATAAAATGCCTTGCATCCCTGTCAATAACATCACCTGAAATAAAAATAGAGATTGTCGGGAAAGTGAGAACATCTTTCCTAGATCAAATGAGTTTTACCAGATATTTTCGAGAAAAGAACTCCACCAATTGCTTCGCCGCTGTACAGATAAGCGAGAGCAACATGTGTCACTTGCATTCGTTCACTGATGTACGCCATCGATAAAGGAAATAGCGCTCCCAAGACCGCACCAGCAGCAGTGCCAAGAATACATAAACTTGTGCTCGTCGCGCCAACTACCCAGATAACGATCAACCAGATAATACCAACACACAAACCGCTAGTCAGAATGACACTTAAAATTATACTGGTTGCCACATAAACACAAAGAATTGCTACAGGGATTCGACTCGCCTAGATTCAAATAGATATAGTATCTCTATCATGTTCACTAAACTTTGTGTACATACAGCATTCGTTAGCCAAAACAGAATGTTGTCTAGATTCGCTTCGCTATTTGATACATTGAATCGATCCGATTTGAGAAAGGTGAAGTAGAACGCCGGAAATCCTAGTTCATTTCCACCAACAGCAATGATATAGCAAATGAATATGATGCAAAGCGTTAAGCCATATCGATAATCTCCATAACCAAATGTTCGAGGAGAATATGGAGATGGGACTTCTTCATCTTGTCCTCCATTGGATGTAAGTGTACCGTAGTCACTCTAAATAGTATTTACATCTAATAATTATTACAAATGTTCTTCTAATATTTCTGAATACTACCTGTTTGAATTCTAATCTTTCTTTCTTATTTTTCGCTTCTCGAAAGGCGAGGAACAGATGTCCGAGAGCGATCAAAGCACATAAACTTCCCGTGATAAAATACGGAATACTGATATTAAACTGTGCACTTTTGGTTGCGCTGACAACAGTTAGGGTTGAATTGATTCCGCTAACATTGGTATCGTTATGAGACGCCCCTTGTTTCGTAAGAAATGGATAAATGAATAGATATACGAAAACACCTCCCGTTCCAACACCCGCACGAGCAACACTAAAAGGTGCTGCAAAATATAAGTTCCACATTGTTAGTAAGATGTGAGTTGCGCATAGATCTGTTAAACCATAAGTTATTCCTTGCAAGAAGAATAGAGCTGTCATTAATATCATTACTTTGACAAATGGAACGCTAAACATCACTAAAATATAAACAATGTCACAGTATCAATCCGATATTTCACTTAGTTTATTCGTACCGATTGTTGCAAGGACGAATGCAACAGTCAGAATAGGGTACGCATATTTCTTGATGGCTCCATGTTGAATGATAACGAATAGATTGGCTATCAAATAACCGAAATTTCTTGCCGCAACAACGGACCCCATTTGACTATAACTAACATTCATATTTATTGCTATTGTCGGCATTGTCGGACCAATTAACTGAACTTGAAAATTCTAGTTATACGAACAAAGTTTATAAAATCTATCGAAGTTTTTTACAATTACCATCACTAACCAAGTGAGAAAAAGATATCCCGTCTGAATTACTTTCCATGAGTCAGAGAAATAGACTCTCCAATCTAGTTGTCGTTGAATATTGGTTTCTTTACGCATATACCACACGTACAAATATACTGCTTGGATATCTAGATCGCTCGCAAGAAAAAACGTACGAATGAAACGAAAAAGAATATGACTGAGTGCTTGCACCACGTGTGTTTTGCTGTTACACATGCAAATTCGATATAAATACAATGATTGTTTGTGTATAAAAAAAAAGGTTCTCTTTTTTCTGTTCTGACTTACCTGTATATTATAAACATATCATCAAAATCGGTGGACAGTATGACATTGAACGGTTACAACGTAGTTTTGGCCTGCTCTATTTAAATTCTAAACAAACAGCATCATTTTTAACTCACAGCATAATTTCTGTTTACATATGGCATTCACGAATCAAAAGAGTGACGCGATTTCTTCTTTGGATGTAAGTGCACTATGTATTCACATTTGGCGTTACAAATATGCCTAAGAGCGACCAAGTCGCAGCTATGTCTTTAGACAAATTTATTTTGTAAATACGAATACAACATGTTATTTCGTTTCGCGATCAAGATTTTCAGGCAAAAGTGTTGCGGTCGCTGTGTCAGAAGATTGTGCATTCGAAAGGTTTTTCCTTCGATGAAAGTAGTAAACGCCATTTGAAAGAATATAGAGAAGAATTGCTGCCAACGTGGAGATAAAAAATAATGTCGGGAAATAATTTGGATCGTGATCCATTATATAGCCTAACAGATACCAGTTTAAAAAGAATTATTTTGCAAGTTCGATCGGTTTCTACCTGTTGTTTGGTGAAACACTAGTGCACCTAGCGCCGAACCAGAATAAACGTAAGCGATAAGTACGGGCGTCACTTTTAATCGTTCGTTAATAAATGCCAATGATAATTGAACCAGCGGTGCCATTGCTAATCCAGTAAAGGTGCCGAGAATAAGCAACTGAGCAATTATCCAGTCACTACTCCATATCCAGAGGAGCCACAGAACTGCAACATATAAACTACCAAACCAGGCTATATTCGATAGAGTAAATGTGGAAAAGTATATAGCTAAAACACATACCAGTAATCGACCGACCTAAGTATGAGAACAAAAAACCGTTTTCAAGTCTTTGTTCGTATATTTCACGAAGTTGTTTGTGTTACGCAAACGATTTCGAACACATACTATATTTGCTATCCAAAACAGGATATTACCCCAGTTAGCAGCACTGTTCGATAAGTTCAGTTTATCAAGTTTTAAATAAGTGAAAAAGAAGAATCCAAATGTGTGATCATTTCCACCGACGAAAAACATGTAACAAATGAATATGATACAAAGGGTTAAGCCATATCGATAATCTCCATAACCAAATGTTCGAGGAGAATACGGAGATGGGACTTCTTCATCTTGTCCTCCATTGGATGTAAGTGTACCGTAGTCACTCTAAATAGTATTCACATCTAGTAATTATTACAAATGTTCTTCTGATATTTCTGAATACTACCTGTTTGAATTCTAATCTTTCTCTCTTATTTTTCGCTTCTCGAAAGGCGAAGAATAGATTTCCGAGAGCGATCAAAGTGCATAAGCTTCCTGCGATTAAGTATGGACCAATGATATTGAACTTTTCACTGCTCATATGGTTTACAGATGCTCCCGTCTCAATAAGAAACGGACGAACAAGCAGAATTGCCAGGAGAGCACCAATTCCATAGCCGGTATGCATAGCGCCTAACGGTGGTGCTGAATCAATACCCCATATCGTGAGTAAAAGATGAGTTCCAGCTGAAAAATAAGAAAGTGACATTATACTTCGGGATGAGATATAGCTCATTCCTACTGACCTATATCTGTTAAGCTCAGGGATACTCCTTGAAAGAAAAAAAGAACATACAAAAGTATCACTGACTTCACAAATGGAACACTGAACATGACTAAAAAAAGAAAACAAACGAGATTTACAAGCATTTTCTTTTCGATTTATTCGATATACCAATAGCTGGTAAAATGAATCCACATGTCAAAACAGGATATGAATGGTTGTCAACGGTATGTTGAAGAAAAATTCCAAGGCAATTCGCGATTAAATAACCCAAACTTCTGACGGCAGTCAAAGCACCCATTTCAGTATAATGACTATGAATACTTGCTGCTAGTGTTGGTATTGTCGGCCCAACTAATTCGACATGAAAACCCTATTTCAACGAAAGTCGTGTGATATTCTCTAATGTTTTCAAACTTACCAAGACAATCCATGTCAGAATAATGTATCCAGTTTGTATTGATTTCCATGGATAACTGAAATAAATGCTGAATTCTGATTGTCGTGAATGAAAAAGCTCTGTGGACATTTATCACAGATATTTCGGTTTATTATCGATATAGCTGACGCGCAAAGTTACAATCGAAGGGAAAAACAAGTGTCGTCTACTGTTTTCACCATGTGTACGTTTTCCTATTGAAAGCATCGATCAGACAAACACGAGCGTCGTCGATACATGTGCAAATCGTGTATATCCCTTCGCCTTACGATCATCCACCTGTAAACCATAAAAATATTGACAAGCAATGAGCATTATGCAACAAAAAGAACGATCAAGTAACTTCATTTCAATAGAAATGTCCTGTATTATTCTTCTTATCAAATTTATTAAATGAAAACAAAAAAAATGTTATTAGCCATTCTGATTTCTTAAATATTCGTTCATCTCTTTTTCCTCTAGGCTGATACGCTCAGGTAAGAACGGAGCACCCCTGATAACTGAGCCACGTGCGTGCGACGAAGTTTTTCTTCGGTGAACAAAATGAATGACATTCGATGCAATATAAAGAATAATCGACACCAGCATACAAATGATCAACAATGTCGGGAAATGATCGGAATTACGATCCATTATCAAACCTAAAGATCAAGATAATCAAAAATGAACTAGATCGATTTCAGTAGAATCTATATTACCAGCTAGTTTCTGGAATGTGATAGCTCCGAGCGCTGAACCACACAGAAGCAATGCAACAAGTACGGGTGTTGTTTCCAATTGTTGATTAATTGTACCGAATGACAGAGGAAATATTGGCGCTAAAACTAAACCAGTGGCAGCGCCGAGAATGAACAAACTTGTGCTTGTTAAACCAATTGTCCATACGAAAACAAGCCAAGCAATAGCCAGAGATAAACCGGCAAACCAAGCGATATTCAAACACATATTCACGGATAAAATCACCGAGAATATTGCTCCAAGCAATCGACCGATCTATAGTTGAAAAAGTCACATATATATATTAATACTTGAATTTACTTCTCTACATACCGAATACGAAAGCCAATAAACGATAATACCCCAACTTGCAGCACTGTTCGAAATATGAAATCGTTCTGATGTCAGATATGTAAAGAAGAATTTTGAGAATGTTTGATCATTTCCACCAATGAAAAAGAAGTAAGCAATGAATACAGCCGATAGGATCAATCCATATTGAAAATATCCTCGTCCACATGTTCGTGGCGAATAAGGAGAGGATGGTTGTTTTTTGACCGTAGTACTACTTCTCTCTGGATCCGTACTAACCACATCATAATTCATCTAAAATAAAAAATAAATAGAAATTCTAGTTCGAGCGCCCAATATCCATACCGATTGAACAATAAGCTTTTCTCGTTGATTTTTCAATTCCCAAATATAAAAGAACGTATGGCCGCAAGCAATGATAATACATAGAACTCCCGTAATCACATATGGAATCACAATATTTGATTTACTATCAAACGGTACCGTTGAATCCAATGTCTCATTTGTCGCAACAACAAACGTTGGTTTTTCTCGGCTGAGAAATGGACGAACAAGTAGATTCACGAAAACAGCGCCTATACCATAGCCTAAATGCGCTGTATTCAATGGCGCTGTAGCATGTACACCCCAGATCGTTAATAAAATATTCGTTCCGCCTGTAAACAAAGAAGAAAAAACCCTCATTTCATCTCGAAAAAGAAACACATTAGAAGCGCACCTAAATCTGAGAAGCCTTGAGCAGCTCCTTGAGTAAAAAATAACACACACATTAATATCCATGATGTTACAAACGGCGTGATAAACATGACTGAAACGAACAAAAAAAACGGATTATAATAAATGCATGTATGTAATAACCGTTTACCCAAAGCGGGGATAACGAAAGCAAGTATCAAAAGCGCATAGGAATGTTGTTTAACAATATTTTGTAGAACAATGCCGAGAATATTCGCAGTGAAATAACCCGCACTTCTCGAAGCTAAAATAGAGCCCATTCCATTGTAAAGAACGTTGATATTCGATGCCACTGCTTGCATTGTCGGGCCAATTATTTCCAAATGAAAGCCCTGTTGGATTTCAAGAAAGATCTTTTCATTTCCTCATGTTGATGGAAACACAAACTTACCAAAGTAATCCATGTTAGAACAAGAAATCCTGTTTTAACAAGATTCCACGGATGATTTAGATAAACTTTTATTCCTGATGCTTTTTGTTCCGACGATTCAACCGCCATCTAATAAAGTTACTGTCGAGTATCACAACAAACCAAATGGAATTACGTTTCTTTTTTTCGATTCAATCACACAGAACATACGTATGTTTGTACAAGCACAAAAAAAAGAATAAATTCTATGTGAGAAGGAAAAAAAACGAAAAATTTTGTAACTTAAATTCATTCACATATGCCATGTACTTTGTTCAATGCGAAAGTTGAACGAAATAAAAAGCAAATATTTAAACGAATAAATTAATCTACAATTTAATTTAATCAAGAAAAAGCGCTGAATAATTTATGCGATTATTTATTCGAACTGATGTGATAGATCGTTTGTTGCAGTGATTAACAAATCCCAGTGGACTTCATGTGTAATTTGTGAATAGTAGGCAAGGCATTTTTTTTCTCTCTTATTTCTCTAGAGAGAATCAGTAGAGTACCTATGATTACATCGCTTTTTTGTTCTTTATTAACGTTTGTAATAGAGAACAATTGTCATTCTGACAAACATTTGCTATTTAAAAAAGAAATTCAATGATCTAGTACGAGCGTGTTCCTTGTTGCGTACATAGACGCGTGCCTTTTTCTTCGCCAAGTTGTCCTTTCTCTTTGTTAAAAAAAAAAGAAATGTAATACATGTAAACTTTGCACGACTTCCGCATTTAAGAACATGCTGTTCATCATTATTATGTTCGGATGTTTTACAACAATCTATCATCGACTTTTCCTTTGCATAACGTGATTCCGTTCTGATCTAATTACTGACGTATATCCGATTTAATGAAAATAAGATGTATGATTGATATAGTTGTATTGTATATAGATCTGTTTTGATTGTTCATTAATATTTCAAAAATGTACGATTGACATGCGACATCAATGAAGAAAATTCGGAGACAAATCGGATGAAATTGCAGAACAACCGATGATATAGTTAAGAAGTACTTGTGTACTTGACCTTTCCATTGTCAATATATGCTTGTTATTCGTTGACAAACAAAATAGAAAAGTGATACTTTTCATTTCGTTACATCTAATTCAAAGAGGATGTGTTTATATACTATGAATATGTAGCACGTGGATGGAACTAATGTAAAGAACGTGAAACGCAAGAGAGAGGGAGAGAACTTTTTTTCTTTTTTTTTATCTTCCAGCGTTCTGTCAATGCACTCAAAGCGCGTTGTTCTAGTACGGATGGTCACAGTGTGTCATAAAAGTTCATTGTCGACATGCTCGAGATCAGTAAAAACAAAGTGCGGAAATCCTTGAGTGTCACATTAAGTGTTCAATCAAAGCTATGTAGACAGATGAATGGAAAAAATGATTATAGTCAAGAATCTAACGTTCTTGTTCTATTGCTTCGAGAATAGTCGTGTCATAAAATGATATCTTATCATCTAACATCTGATAAAAATTCGAACACAAGTTATATCATACATGAAAACAGAAGTCGTGCGAAACGAGAATGTCAATTCCTGATGAATATCTATGCCCAATTACGAGAGATGTCATGAAAAATCCTGTTCTATTGATCGAAGATGTACGTTTGAAATTGAATGATGTACTTGTTTGCGAAGAGCAATTTTTGAATACTTTAGGGATATTCATATGAAGAGAATGCTTTGAAATCTTGGCTCGAAAATCATAACACGTCGCCGATGACGAATAATTTTTTGAAAAATCGAACTTTCATCTCGAACCGAGCATTGAAATCCTTGATCAACGACTTTCTGTCTCACAAACGCATCACGTCCGAGAAATTATCTCGTGAATTTTTATCATTCAAAATTCTCACTAGACGACCATATGTGGATTGGAAATCGAAACCAACAATCACAATTATCCTATCAGTGCTAGGACCATGTCAAGTCGGCAAAACAATTTTAAGTCAATGTCTTCAATACGGTCATTGGCCGGCAAATATGCCAATTCCGCCTTCGACTATCGGATGTGATCTGTTATTTTATCACTTAAGTAAATTGTTCAAAGAGCAGTTTGCCGTTGCCCTCCGATTGAATGATCCATCTGGTCAGGATCGATTTGAATCTGTAACAAATCTTTATTTTCGACAATGTCATGGAGCGCTGCTTTTAACTGACATGACAAATCCAGAGAGTCTCGAACGATTAGAGCAATATTGGTACCCGAGATTGAAACAATTGAGCGTCAATCCTGTCGAGGTCATTCTCGTCTGTACTAAATTGGATCTGTTCGAGAAACAGGAGCCGGTATATCGCGAAGCCTACCTTCGCCGTGTCGAGCAATTCGCTACTAAACATCAGATTCCAATAGTCCATGTCTCTGCCTACCGTGGTGACAATATCGAATACCTTTTCAAACGAATGATCATCCAAATTATGGAAAATGATGAAATAATCGATCCGTTAGTCGCGCAAGCTCTTTCTTGTGTAAAACAAAAACCTGTCAAGAAAACGTCTCCCTGTTGTCTGTAAGATTTCATCAAATGTAAGATCGAATGTATTTATCACTAAAGAATTATTTTCTAAAGTAAAAATCTACTATGAAATGCTCCTCAAATCTTATTTTCCACCTGTTGTACCCATGCCCATCGCTGTCTTAAACGTATCATAGATCCACCATTGTAAAGCAGCAATCGTGCCAATCATAATAATTCGTGTTCCTAAACCTTTGGTACAAAGGTTCCAAACACCGAAATCTCGACTAATTTGTTGAATAGACTTATTTTTGTACTGCGGCTTAGCCATTAATGAAACAAGTGAATCACCGGGATGCGAAACAACGGCACAGAGAATGCCAGCAAGATAACCAGCAGCAAATGTAATACCCAATTGTGTTGTTTTGGAATAACTTGATTTTGGTTCGGTAAAAACATGAGTGTAAAACATCTGAACAGTCTAGAAAAACATTTGCATAGAATAACAACATCTTATTTTTCTTTCTTTGGTAAACAGAACACTTACTTTTTCAAAAAAATAAAATTTCGTTACAGTATATGGAATTTGACGTGACCATAATGGAATGATTGATCCATATGGAAATCGTGTTGATTTTCGATCTTTATTCATGGCTATGGTAGCTGGAATTAAGGCAGTTGGAAATGTACCGGGTGTGCTCGTTTGAACTTTGACTTTGACCATTTCCATTGGACATAAGGCTAAACAACCACAGAATTCAGCTGCTGCTGCACCTGATAACCAAATCCAATCGCGATATCTATGAGCGTAGTCATAACCAACGAGATTAGATAGAGAATCTTTGAAAACTTCGTAAAGTCCGAATTTTAAAGCTCCTTGAGGTGAATATCCTAAGATTGTCGGCTCCCATCCTTTCCATATCGCTCGACTACCTTCTTCGCGAAGTATTGTTCGAAGACTGCCGAATAAACTTTTGTACTTTTCTGGATCAACTTGCATATTACATTTTGTGACATCCAATGGTGTTATTGCCAGGTGTGTCGAACCGCAGGCTAATGCACCACCAATAAGACATTTTCCATAGTAGATATTATCATGCGGAACGACACCAGCAGTTCGAGCATTCCACGCTTTATTCATGATCTATCTGAAAACACATATAAGAAAGAAAGAGAGATGACGTTTGAGCTCGAACTGTTCTAGACGTCAGACATCGTATGATGATTATCGATTGTGCCGTGATGAAGGCGCCATGTTGTATAGAAACAGTACAAGAGAAGAGTAAATACAATTTTGTGTGACTCAAGTTTGTTATTCGTAATTCAAAAAAAATTTTTTTTTCTCTCTTAGATGCAACCAGGGAAAGAAAACATTTGTGGTTGCAACCGTGGCAAGAGTAATGCTTCTCGATTCGCGATGATCATAGGGAGAAAAGAAAAACTTTTTTTCTCTATCCAAGAAGAGAAACTCCACTAACGGCAGTCGGGTTTGTTACAATTGTTCGCCAGTTGGAATGATCTCAGAGTCTGACATCTATTGAACATCATGTTGAGTAATAATACACAATGCTTAAAGTGTAAATCTCTTCCATTCGATCATCCAACGATATAAACAATATTCCTAGATGTGTTTGATTCTATGCTAAATAGATCTTCATCAGCTCTGATTTAAATCACCCAGAAAACAAATGAATAAATTGAGTTCCAAACATAGCTACAATAACAATTAGCTATTTGAGGATTGTTATTACATTTCTTGTGCTTCTTTTCTTTCTCTTTCTTTCATCCGTTTTTTCGTTTCAACATACACTCGACTATTCATCATAGTTATCTCTTATTAGAGTATAATCTATATGAAAGAAACGTGAAAGAATGTTATAAACCAGGTCATTCTCATATCCGCCCTCAAAACGATGAAGTGTTGTTTGAGAGTGAATCACAGTTCGAATACGTTGATCTAGTTCACATAGAAATACGAACTGATTCAGATAAGATCACATTCTTTTGTAACTTTTGTCCAAAAGTGAAACACAAAGGACGGCTTTTATTTAATGATACGTCGTGAAATACGAGAACTCTAAATATTTAGAATTCCAAGGCCCTCGCTTTCTCTTTTTTTTTCTTTCAGTATTCAATTTTCGCCCACGTAAATACTTGATGATTATATAGATGATATATTAATATTTGTAAAATATACTCAATTGCACGGACCAGACTTGAATCACATTGACGAAAAAAAAAACTATGAACGAAGCGCTGTAAGACAGTTGTCAATGTGAAAGTTGAGACGTAAACTAACATAATTTATTCATCAGCGTATATGTACAGCAAAAACGAAACGAGATAAAAAAATGAAATTGGATCTTTCCCTCGACCTTCATTTCAAATGCAAAGACGAAAAGAAAAAAGAAAAACTTGGAGACAAATATAAAAACCGCATCGATCAACTCCTGATGCGATTTTAGTCAAAGGAGAAGCAAAAAATGTCTTATGATACGAATAAGAGCCAGCAGGAGAAAGAGAACACAGCACTTGTTTCATATCGTCGAAATGCACATTTCGGATCATCTGTTCAATACACGTCGTCGATTGTGATCAATCTTCGACGATTACAGAACGATCTTAAAACTCAACACGAACACGAACGAGAAGCACTGAACGAGCTCAATCAACGTTTCAGCGTTTTCGTCGATCGCGTCCAAGCGTTAGAATCACAAAACTCAAAGTATCGTTCTGAGCTCGCTAATCTTCGACGAACGTCATCCGGTGATAGCGGAATTGACTTACAATGGAATGAACGTTATTTCAGTGCACGCTCCGACTTAACCGCACTACATCACGCAACGCTCGATTGCGAATCTGATTTAGATTGGTATCACGCGCAAGTCGGAATCTATCAACAATTGATTGATACAGAGCAGCAGTGGAGAGACAAACGTTTAGCCAAACTCGAACAAGAACTGAAACAAGCGGCAGCGGAATTGAATACGTTGCGTCTATCGTACACAGATTTAGAACGATTGAGTATAAATCAGTACGGAGAACGCGACGAAGTCTTCAAGCAATATCTAGCAGTATCCTATGATTTGTGCAATGTGAAGAAACAACGAAAGAAATGGAATTTGAATTTGGAAACGTTGAAAAATTACATTGCGTTCTATAAAAATATACGATCGTTTTCAGCAAAGTTGGTTGATGTTATAAAAAAAAAAAAAGAAAGATTTTTATTGGAATTTTTTGCGTTGTAGAAGTTATGAATCGACGGTTATTAATGTTGGTAACCCGGCAGAATACTGGGCTGTCGAATTGGATGAATCCATCAAGAAGATTCGTCGCGATTTCGAAACGTTCTACGCGACAATTTATCGCGAAATGACAACGTATTACGAAACGAAAATGGAAGATTTAGACAAAGNCAATATTCCTAGATGTGTTTGATTCTATGCTAAATAGATCTTCATCAGCTCTGATTTAAATCACCCAGAAAACAAATGAATAAATTGAGTTCCAAACATAGCTACTATAACTATTAGCTATTTGAGGATTGTTATTACATTTCTTGTGCTTCTTTTCTTTCTCTTTCTTTCATCCGTTTTTTCGTTTCAACATAAACTCGACTATTCATCATAGTTATCTCTTATTAGAGTATACTCTATATGAAAGAAACGTGAGAGAATGCTATAAACCAGGTCATTCTCATATCCACCCTCGAAACGATGAAGTGTTGTTTCAGAATGAATCATAGTTCGAATACGTTGATCTAGTTCACGTAGAAATACGAACTGATTCAGATAAGATCACATTCATTTGTAACTTTTGTCCGAACGTGAAACATAAAGGAAGGCTTTTATTTAACGATACGTCGTGAAATATGAGAACTTTAAATATTTAGAATTCCAAGGCCCTCGCTTTGTCTTTTTTTCTTTCAGCATTCAATTCTCTCCCACATAAATACTTGATGATTATATAGATGATAAATTAATATTTGTAAAATATACTCAATTGCACGGACCAGACTTCAATCACATTGACGAATAAAAAAACTATAAACGAAGTGCTGTAAGACAGTTGTCAATGTGAAAGTTGAGACGTAAACTAACATAATTTATTCATCAGCATATGTGTACAACAAAAACGAAACGAGATAAAAAAAAAGAAATTGGATCTTTCGCTCGGCCTTCATTTCAAATGCAAAGACGAAAAGAAAAAAGAAAAAACTTGGAGACCAATATAAAAACCGCATCAATCAACTCCTGATGCGATTTTAGTCAAAGGAGAAGCAAAAAAATGTCTTATGATACGAATAAGAGCCAACAGCAGGAGAAAGAGAGCACAGCACTTGTTTCATATCGTCGAAATGCACATTTCGGATCACCTGTTCAATACACGTCGTCGATTGTGATCAATCTTCGACGATTACAAAACGATCTTAAAACTCAACACGAACACGAACGAGAAGCGTTGAACGAGCTCAACCAACGTTTCAGTGTTTTCGTCGATCGCGTCCAAGCGTTAGAATCACAAAACTCGAAGTATCGTTCTGAGCTTGCTAATCTTCGACGAACGTCATCCGGTGATAGCGGAATCGACTTACAATGGAATGAACGTTATTTCAGTGCACGCTCCGACTTAACCGCACTACATCACGCAACGCTTGATTGCGAATCTGATGTAGATTGGTATCACACGCAAGTCGGAATCTATCAACAATTGATTGATACAGAGCAGCAGTGGAGAGACAAACGTTTAGTCAAACTCGAACAAGAACTGAAACAAGCGGCAGCGGAATTGAATACGTTGCGTTTATCGTACACAGATTTAGAACGCTTGAATGTAAATCAGTACGGAGAACGCAACGAAATCTTCAAACAATACCTAGCGGTATCCTATGATTTGTGCAACGTGAAGAAACAACGAAAGAAATGGAATTTAAATTTAGAAACGTTGAAAAGTTACATTGCGTTTTATAAAAATATACGATCGTTTTCAACAAAGTTGGTTGATGTTGTAAAAAAAGAAAGATTTTTATTGGAATTTTTTCCGTTGTAGAAGTTATGAATCGACCGTTATTGATGTTGGTAAACCGGCAGAATACTGGGCTGTCGAATTGGATGAATCCATCAAGAAGATTCGTCGCGATTTCGAAACGTTCTACGCGACAATTTATCGCGAAATGACAACGTATTACGAAACGAAAATGGAAGACTTAGACAAAGAAATCGAACAAACAACACGTTATCAACGAGTCGAATACGAAGAATTTGTTGCCAGTCAACAAACCTTACAAGTCGAATACGAAAAAATACAGTACAGTCTTACGTACGAAAGAGAAGCGTACTCGAAATTAGAGTTGACCTATTGTAAGTACTCTTTCTTTTTCGTTCTTGAAGAAAAAACAACACGTTCTGTTTGATTTTCAGCGAGATTAGACGATGAATATAAATCATTAGATGTCGCATGTGTTGAACAATTGGAAGCACAGGCGAAAGAAGTTCAAAGTTTACAAGAACGTATCGTGGATATGGCTTACGATATCAATGAAATCCAACGCAGGTTTGAATAAACAAAAAATTACGAAGCAAAAAAAAACTTTCTGCTCTTCTCTTCTAGCAAAGTCAATTTGGAAGCGGAAATCATTATCTATCGTTATCTACTAGACGCATATGGATTTGGTGAGAAGATTACCGTTGTTCCCCAGAAAAAAATTGTCGCAAAGGAAATGACTGGTAAATTCATTGCAAAGGGACGAAAGAAACGCTCGATTGGTATAAGTAAGTGCATTCCAAAAGAAGTCATCTATCAGTTACGTTCCATTTTCTTGTAGAAGAATGTGCAGCCAATGGTAGATATATCAGTTTGGTCAATTATTCATCAAGTACAGATGTTGATATATCACGGTGGGTAATCAAACAGCAGGTGAATTCTGCATCGGATATTCGATATACAATTCCTAAGGGTGTTCGAATTGAACAAGGAAAAGAATTACGAATCTATTCGAAACGTTATGCGGGGGATGTGCCATCACACGGAAGCACGATTTCGGCGTTAGTACAGCAACAGCAACAACAACCGCTAGTAACTAATGATTTACCTTCGTGGGGTAAGGAAATTATCAGATTCGAGAAAATCAAATTGCGTTCTTGTGTTTCGTTTAGGTATTGGTGATACAATTGAAACGTTTTTATACAATCAAAATGGTGAAGAAGAAGCATCGTATTTACAATCGATTGAGTTGAGAAAGGGCAATATGTGATCGATCTACGAGAAGAACACTATATTTTATTTTTCTACTCAAATATTCGAAACTAATATTGGTTTTAATGCTTTTTTTACTTTTGAACTATTAACTAACAAAGTGTAATCTTTTTAATGATTAAAAATTTATTATTCAAAAGAAATCTTTAAGCAAAGGTGGTACACGCACAGTATATCATCGGATTGGTGCACGTTGATGCTTGTCCATAATCAGACCATGGTGTTGAGCTTGTATCTGTAGGTGTATAAACAGCCCGATCTGGATTAACATAAGTGGTTACTGAACCTGGAAAACCTGTTCCACAATCTGATGTTACATTCGTGTAATTCTGATTAAATGCTTTACATAAACCAGTGCAAGACGCTATCCCATTGCTGTTACCACAGCCGGCATGAAGTGCATACCAAGCATTATTAACATATGAGCCAGTAAAGGTTGTTCCACTCAAATAAACGACTGGATAGCCAATACTTAAGTACCCACTGTATTTTGTGAGTGAATAATAACGAAACTTTTGGATGCCGTGATAGCCATTAGTGGCTACTTCAATCGCATAATTTTGTACACCTGTCACAAGAGTGATATAAGTTGTAGTAGTTGTTGTTGATGATGACGTAGTCGACGTGGTTGTTGGTTCTATTAACAGAACAAGTTATCATCTTCAATAGAAAGACGTGATAATCAGATTTACCTGAAGGCGTGCGTGTTCCCGATACGACGAACATGGTCACTGTGTGTGTATTAGTCAATAAATTATTGTTTTGATTCCATACATTAGCAAATAGTTGACAATTCGAAGTCAAATAGGAAAAGCAAAGACCTTGACAAGATAGTTGAGCTAAACAGGTTGCCTGACAACGACGAATATCTAAGTCAGTAATAGTCATGTACGGTGAACAGGTCGTATTTGTGCATTGTAACTGCCAGCCATGATATACAGACATCTTGAATGACCGTCTATCTTGATCCATTGCTTTTATCGTATGTATAAAAAGAGATACGAAGAAAAGTCTTACAGTACACATTGTCGACAATAGTTTATTCAACGACAATTTGCACTTTCATCTTCCTATTTTTTTTCCACGCGTTGTCTTCATCTATTCAGTTCAGTGAGTCTGTCAGTATCAACTAAAACCTATTTCAGCGAAATTAAATTGCGACTCAGCTTGATTGTTTTCAACTGTAGTTGTCAAATATGTTGTAAAACAAACACGCTGCGCAAAATGTGGCTGTTAAATAATTTTGACTTAAATCACGGTACTATGATCAATTGCTTAAAGAAATACAAGTCACATGTAGGAAACTATTAGATATTTCGAGACGATTTAAATATTTTGTCGTGCCTGCAACACGTCTTTTGATAAAGTATTTATCGTTCTTTAAAATTTTCTCCTTTGTACTTTCCACGCATAATGAAGAGATCGGTAAATTAATTCATCTTCTGTTAGTTGTAAGCTATTTAAATTTTTCAAAAACAACAGAACTATGATTTTATCGGCTAAGAATTTGGTGAGAAATAGGATATTTTCGTTCGTATCTCTTTGGTTTCATATCAAAACTATACCATAGTGCATGACTAATTGAGATGATCCATACATACGAATGAACTATTAGCTAAATTTAGCAGATTCATTTAGTGGTGAAACGCGGAGTTATCATGAATTGACGTTTGATTGCGATTGTAATGGAATTTGAACATTGCAAGTTTTATTTAATAGAACATATCCTCATTATCGTTATGTGCAGCAATTTTATGTGAAAAAGTCCGAAGAAGAACCAATAAAATTGATTCTGGGATCGTATGATATCAGGGTGTGACAAAATTTGTGAACTAGATTATGGGTCAAGTTCCCGATTATGAATTTGATTATTCAGTGGGTCTACAGGAAAGTATTATTAATCGTACGTACCTTGCAGAGCTATTCTGTTTTGAAACATCTTTTTGCGTTTCGGGTGTGATTTGAATAATTTTATCATAATCAAGTAAATGATAAGCATTATTCAAAGTCGTGCTGCATATGAAGCAACGGAAACAAAATGGAAAAGAAAATGTTCAATGTACTTTGAAAAACTAATGAGTGACATATGAAGCCATCAGGTGACCAATAAAACAGATCACACTAACATTTAGTTGAACACGCGAAGATGCTGGAGAAAATGACAATTCAAATGAAAGTTAGAGTTGTGATACTAACAAGAAGACTCACCACGACTAGTACTTGGAGATGATGTGGGTCGAGTAGTCGAAGAACTTTGCTTGAGAGCACTAAAGGTAACTTCAGCAGGACCACGTACTTCTATGCGAAAATTCCCCGTCACATTAGAATTGTACGTCGTAGTAATTAAAATATAAGTGATACTGGAATATAGTTTATATGATATTGAGAACTGTTTATTACCGGCATTGTTATCATCTTTGGCAAGGAGATTGGAAGACATATTGTGTGGAGTGAAAGAATTCATGTACAGATAACCGTAAGTATCGACTACGCTAGAACTTATGAGAACATAGTTATCACTCATGGGCACATTGATTTGAATTGCGTTGTAGTAATAGATGCCGAAGATGTTTTCTCGATTATATATCACAAGGTCCGTAGTTAATTCACCATCATAACATGATAAAACATTTTTTGAAGATGCTGTAGCATATTCTATATGTACACAGAGAGCAAGAAACGCATTGATTTGAAAAGAACATGGCAAATGGTTGTCTACTTACCATTAGTTGTGGCACTAGAAACAAGTGTTGTCGATGCATCGTCAACGAGAGTAATATTCACACTTGCTAAACCAGAAATAATCAGACGATATTCTCCAGTGGTATTTTCTCGATATGTTGTAGCAACCAGAATATATGTGCGATTGGGTTCAAGAGTAGTTTCAAATCGGAATTGGCTGTTACCACCATTATCGTCATCTTCTGTAATCAAATTCTGTCTGGTATCGACAGGAGAGAAACTATCCGAATACAAATAGCCATAAGTATCAACTTTACTGCTACTTGTAAATATATAGGAGCCGTTGATTGGTACAGTAACTCGATATGCTTCATAGTAAGTGTGTGTTGTCGAAGCACTGTGACGAATATACTTTCGACTGTTTGTTGTCCATGCTGATAGTACAGTTGTATTTACTGAATATTGATTTTCTATACTTCACTTGTAAATCAAAATCTCGATTTACTTTTTTTGTTTACTTACGTGGTGTGGTAGTAGTTATTTCAGGTAGTATCACACCAATAGCTGAGCAGTTGTATAATAATCGAACTTCGCGAATATCAGTTGAACTCATAATATCACGTTGACCAATGGTGACATTCGCTTGTAATGGTTCGATGGTTGGAAGACGATTCCAAGAAAATGCATCTCTTTCATAATGCATTATAGATGAATAATCATATGATGTATTCAAAGTATCCACAAATGTGTCATTATATTTGTCAAAATTGTGTCGATTTGCTGCATCAAGAAAGCAAAATAGATTGATGATCGTCTTTTAAAAAAGCTAATAGAACTCTCTTTTCTTACCAAATGCTATATTTTCATAGAGAACTCGAATATAATTATCACGATCAGGTCTTGATTGCTCATGATAGAAACCTATAAGAGTATTATTGAATAAATATTCTTTCCTAGTCGATACGAATCTTCTCCACGGAAGAATAATAGATACTACCCAAAGTGTGTAATAGTTCGTGCATAATGATTCCCTCACTAAAATAATCGGGATAAAATAATGAAACCACGTGCGGTGAGTGTCCTTGTCCAACCTATAATAATACTACAGGTAGATAAAAGACGGTATTGTTCACTTACATAGGAAAAACAGTCCAACCCTTGAACAATTTGAATATAATATTGGTCGTTAGGAAGTTTCGGTCGAAATTGAACGCAAGCAACATTCTCTATAGCAATCAAACGTTCCATTTTCTGCATGACAGATATGACAAGTTCTTGCAGCCAGGGTACTAAAAGAGATGGAATACATGATGATTTTTAGTAGAGAAAGTAAAATTAGTCACTAATGTCGGAATCAAATTCGTATGGAACTACTCCATTTGTCCAAGCAGCTCCACGTCGTGCAACTCCGCGCTAAAATAATCTCATATAAGAATAATTTTAAAAAATCATTGAAATAAATCACAAGGTTTGGATGCGGTGAGCCATGAAAAATCATATCACCCTCGAATAGGTTGGCTAAAATAAAGATAACTAAACTACTAATTTTGAAAAAGCATAGCTTACGATTTTCGTATGGTTTTCTTAATTTAGATAATCTCTCCTTCTTAAAAATGAAAAAAACAATTGTTGTCTTTTGGCTAATATTTATATCGAACGTATTACCTTTTCAATTGGATATCCTTCGATTTGAACAAAGATAATAAAACTAATTATGGTCAACGTATAAACTTTATGGTACATGATAAATCGTCTATATTTGGACATCTTTCAAGATATGCATTGATTAGCAGCGTCGGATTTTATATAGATGACCGAGTTGAAAAACATGTATCAAGTTTCAATACCCTGGACCAGTAAATCTTCGTGCTCAGCAGTTGAAAATATATTATTCATGCGAACGTCATGTGATAAGAACTAAATATTTGAATAATTATTAAGGGCTAGTATATATCAAAGATTTTGTTTCTTCTCAGGCATGTCTTGGATAACTTTTTATACACTCGAAACTGAAGTTTAGCAACCGACATGGATAATATTGATGCAAATGATTTTATAGTTCTATTTTCAAAGAGAATAACTTCACAAATACGGACAACATTCACGACAAGGATAATTCATATTATTTATTGTAAAGAATATTTCTCATGTGTTTCGCGAGTTTTACTGTTGTTTTTTATAAGACATCCATTAATATTATATGACCAACGATGAAGTAATAAAAGCTTTGCACTCGAAGTACTTCTCATTTTAACAATGCAACGCTGAAGTTCATGATAACCTTCAAATATAAAATTTAATGAAACAGAGCTTTTTTTATCTGAAGATAATGGAATAGTTGCATAACTTTAAGAACTGGGTTAATAAAAAGAAATTAAGTAAATGATTATACGCTCAACAGAAAAATCATGCTCATTTTCATATTATATTTGCCGCAATTCATAATGTTATCCTATAATCAGACATAGTATACCATATATGTAAATAGCTATCGAATTTTGTATCCCGCAAGCTAAACTACATCTGTTGAGTCAGATTTAGGAGATAGTTCGTATGTATAAGTGCTTCAAATGAATGATTTCATGCCTTTGTTTTTTCTTTTTTCTGTCATATTTTAAACTCAACCTTGTTTAGAACAAATATGCCGTCGCAAGAATATAATTCGCTTAGTCAATGCTATGGAGTAGTACTTCGTCGTTATCGAAGTATATTTCAAGTTCGAAATCGATTCGAATCGATAGGTCAAATACTACAAACAATAAAAAAGAATAAAACTAAAGATATAAATAAAATTGTGTTTAGTATGGGAAGACTTTGAAATCAATACTTCACTGCACGGTGGTATGCAGGTGTCTCCGTATTTTTGTAACCATTTAATCTCTTCTCGCACTTTGATTTTTCCATGCCATGGATTATTTGGAATGAGATGAGATTCACCTGGCAAAATAATCATTTTTGATGGAACATTACGGCTATGCAATGCTCGCTCTAAAATATAATTTTCGGATGCAGCCACACGAATGTCATTAGCAGGAACAATGATCAGTGTCGGTGTACGAACTTTATCCATGCGAAAGATTGCTGCTTCTGCTTGATACAAATGTGGCACTTGCCATGGATAACCACCGAACATATAAACACTAGTGTAAGGTATATCTGTTAATCCCCAATCAGCCACATGTTCCGGTGCACCAGCGCCTGACAAAGCCGCGTTGAATCGAGTTGTTTGCGTAATAATCCAATTTGTTAAATAAGCACCATAACTGTATCCACCAATCGTCAATCGTTTTGGATCTACAATTCCATCGTGAATTAACGCATCAACACCAAAGAGAATATCTCTCGCTGGTCGAGAAACGATTTGAAATCGTACGCCTTGTAGAAATTCATCGCCATATCCTAAAAAGAACAAACTTCGTTCCCGCAGCTGTATTCTATATATCTTACTGACCCGTCGAGCCACGATAGTTTGGTTCAAATACAAGCCATCCTTCTGTCGCAATCATCGGTCCGCAAGAATACCAATCGGGTTGGAAGGTGTTAACATCGGCACCATGTGGGCCACCGTGAATGAGAACGTATAATGGTAAGTTTTTCTGTTCAAATTTGTCTGGTGGATATAAAAGAATGCCTTCAATTTCAGTTCCATCGTCTTTATTCGTCCATCGATACGGTTTTCCTTTGGGAAGATTTCTTTCAGTGAATAATTGATTTTCATTAGTTATTTGTCGTGCGGCATTTAATTGATCAATTCGGTCAACAAAATAAACTTCTTGAGGTTTCTCAAAAGACGAATGAATAAATGCAATCGCTGAACTGTTATCTCCCGGAAAAGTAACCATCTTCTCATAAGTTCCATTCCATCCCATCAGTTTGTTAATTACAGCATCAATCGATTGTTGGTGGTAGACCTGAACCTCTGTGCCCAATTGACCTAAAATTGCAACACCCTGTCGATCACCTTGTAATAGAACATAATTTGTTATTTCTCCGGTGAATTGACTTGCCCAATGTTGAATTCGACCATTATTTGGATTTAAGCTGTACAACCGTCCTTGCATCTCCTCGTATTCTCCATCAACGGATCCTTCGGACATCACTGTAAAAAATATCGATCCATTCGCTGACCATTTTAAATTTTTTTCCACTGCAGTATTATTCGTCAATCGAACTGGAATCAATGGCGATGGTTTAGTTAAATCCAACGAATACAGTTCGTTATCTACTATGTTTTCCATCTGTGATGATGCTGGCTCTGTTGAATAGATTAACTGTCGGCCATCAGATGAACAAATCATTTCATGCACCGAATAGGATATGTTCACTAAAGGCTCGATTTTCACGATAGTCATGTTTTCAATATCAGCTCGATAGATTGTATCACCTCGATATTGCTCACGATAGTCGATCACATCTTTCCATTCGTTTTCATGCGCTGATCGAGCATCTGTTGATTGAGGAGTACGAGTGGCGAAATACAGACTCATTGATGTTGTTGACCAAATAAATGTATGAACATGTTCTGTACCAATCGAAATCGGAATCATTTCATTAGTGCGAAGGGAATATAGATGAATATATTGCGATTGATTTGTTTGGTTTGGTTTTGCTGAACTATCAGCAAGTATTAATGCAATCAGATTATCTTTCCATTGTGGTTGAAAACTACTTGCTTGCTTTGTTATCAATGTTTTCGAATTATCTTGTAATTTGAAGAGATAGAGATGTTCTTCATTAATATTCTCTTCCCAAACATGATGTGTCGTTTGAATAAGAATCGATTGATCATTATTCGGTGAAACAGTTATGGAAGAAAAGGTTGTGTAGTTAAAAAATTCATCGAAAGTAACTGTTGGCAAAGATAGTACATCAAGTTTATTCAACGAGATAAACAGCAGAACAATCAACGAAAGATGCTTAACGATCATGATCGATCAGTGTGAAATAAAGGACACGACAACATAATCTTCTGACATATAAATGTCGAGATTAGTATTGTATTTGAATTCGGTTTATAGACATACACTTTATACAGTTAGATCTCAAGGTGAGTATATAGATCGTAAACTTCAGAGATGCCTTAAGTATTCCATCATTTCTTATCTTGATCATTTCATCAGAGTAGGAAGATGAAAAAATGGCGAAATAAAACATGAAAAACTTTGGCTCTTGATTGAGTTTTATTGATGTAATAAGGTGTCGATAGTTTTTACTATTTCATAACTCTTATCAATAGCAAATACTGTACGAACCAAAAAAAAAGAAACTGGAACAAATAATGTGTCGTGTATACTTTTTATCTTATTTCTGAACTTTGCCTAAGATATCAAAATACGACATTTATAAAGATTTCAAGTGTGTTTTGTTTCTCTCGATTGTGCTTCGAACAAGAAAATGATTACAAAAATACGGAGACACCTGCATACCANAAAACGACTGAGATATGTTTTCTCCTGCTGTTAATCCTGAACAAGAAAATGATTGGTATTCCTATGAATGCGAATTCTGTTTATGTTTCAGTTGTTCAAAGTAAGTATATCTCTCTGATTGAAATTTCATTGATTGAAATTGAATTATTCAGCTGGATGTGTTTCGGGAGAGTTCGATTCGACTTATCCTATTCATCTCAATGGAATTATCAGTCAAATTGAGTATCAACAATCGATTCAACGTATCAACGAAGCATTGAATTCAACGAAACGAATGTTCAACTTATTCTGGATTATTTTTGTAGTGACAATGATACTTTCAACCATCAGTTTTCTTGTTTCAGGATTAACAGCAGGNTTCAGAATATTTTTTTACAATATTCTGTAAAATGACACCGAAAATATTAGCGATTAAATAACCGACGGCTCGAAATGCCAGCACCGAGCCCATACCGCTATAATCAACTTGAATATTTTCAGCAAGAATCGACATCGTCGGACCGACTAATTCGAAATGAAAACCCTAAAATTCATCAACATGTAAGACAAAAACATTGTAATTAATATGTATATACAAGCGCAATCCATGTTACAACAAGATATCCGGTCTTGATAAGTTTCCATGGATGGTTTGTGTAAATTCTCAGACTACGTGAAGATTGTTCGTTTGATGTTGTTGACATGTATTATGCGATTTTATCAACAATATAATGCACGGATGAAAACTTCTAAAATCAGTTCATGGCAATTTCTTCACGAGAGAATAGAAAAGAGGCAACGACGAGTAATAAACCATGTGCGTTTATGTTATATGGTAAAAAAATTAACGACAGAATAGAAGAAAAGAGAGAGCAAGCAAGACGTGAAGCCTTCCTACTCATTATTTTTTCTTTTCTTATTATAAAGAAAAAAAGATTCATGGTGACCTATTCGAGTTCACTCAACATTACAGTGGCTCAATGCATATCTGTGTTCTTTTTTCTCTTGATGGTCGCGTCGTGTTTGTCGAACCTCAAAATAGTTTGAAAAGAGGAATTTTTCGACGATTTTATCGTCTTTCCACAACCGAAACAACGAAATAAAAACTTTTAAATGCATCGTGTCTGATTTCAAAAACATGTGGCTAACCCACAAATTGATGTGTTCAAATAGATTTCGCCCAGTGCCCCGTTACAATCAATATTGATAACTCATGTTCTATTCATGAAATGACACTTCCGCAGAATATAGGAAGTCAAACACGGCATTAACAAACTGAATCCTACTTGAATAAAAGACGATTACTACATCACGGGGCGAACCCGATCCGCTTTATTTGTTTTACGTGTCATGTTAGAATCAAATTACAATGAGAACAGCAAGCATGTCCATACCTATATATCTACGGGTGAATTATCAGTGAAGTCATTCGTCTTGAAATAAATCTGATAATAAAGAAGAAGAAGACTATAATGGATTTCTTACTGATCGCCATTCTTCTGTTGACTACTGGCAATCTTGTTCAATCAAGTTCTACTGCGAATCCATGCACAAACTATTGTTCTCAAGGTGGCGTGTGTCTTAAAACACCACAAGGCCCGAAATGTATTTGTTTACCACGATGGAAAGGAAAACACTGTGAAATCCAAGAAGCAGCTGGAGGAATAAATTCATCGCAAGTTGTGCAAGCCGATCAAGTTCGAAACGGTCCCGGTTTGTGTGAGATTTTTGCCCCTAATCATTGTTTAAACGGGGGGATCTGTGATGTTAATGAACAAGAATTTATTTGTCATTGCAAATATCCGTTCACTGGAGATCGTTGTCAATATGTTTCACGTAACTAAACATGATACGAAATAGCAAAAAAAAAACTTCTGTTTTAGTGTGTTACAAATATTGCTTAAATAATGGTCTTTGTTATCTTCACACCAATGGTAGTCCGAAATGCGTTTGTGCGTCAGATAACGAAGGTGAACGCTGTGAGAAAAGTATAGTTCCTCGTCCTACATGTGATCAGATGCCTGCTACTTATTGTAATACTGGAGTCTGCCTACATGCTGCAGTACCACCACGTTGCCACTGTCCGGAAGCATATACTGGTGAACAATGTGAGACACGAATCACACCCACAACCGAACCTTGTGAGTAACATCGAGTTTTTATAATTTTATCCTATTTCTTTTGGAATTTTAGTTGAACGATGTAATGTAACAACGTGCCGAAATGGTGCTACATGTCATAACAATGGTAATTCCTTCTACTGTCATTGTCCGAAGCGCTTTACTGGCAAACGCTGTGAGACTATTTTGGGCTAAGATGACACTGAGGTCAATCTAAATTCATGCCATGAACCTTTTTTCTTTTCGATCTTTATGACTATTTGAATGTAATCAAGAACGAAATAAAGCGCTTTATTATTATAGAAAAAACATGACGCTGCGTATGTTTTGCTTTTACTACCATCGACGATATTGATAACCGTACTGAACACCATATGTGCCATGTCCATAACCGCCAACACCAGGAGCACCGCCCATAATTTGACCATACGTTGGATTAGGATTTCCACCCATTGTATTGTCTAAGATTTCACCATAGGGACCTTGAAATCAAATTAATACCAATAAGTATCGTACATCTACAGGCTACATCACTTACTATCTAATCCACCAGGCACATTTTGTTCAATCCATAGATCAGAAATCAATTCGTTTGTCAGAGCTGGATTGCGATAATTATTGTAACCATACATGTTTCAAACGAAGAAGCTTTTGTTTTATCTTACGACTGATGGAGATAAGCAAGATGGTTCTCTGTTTATATACGAAAGTTTGCTCTATTGACATGCATCACAGATGATCAGAAGACAAAAATACAATAGCACTGACTAATATCTGCTTATGCCCATTCAATTGTACGCCTACGTCGAAAGACTATATAACGAATCCTAGAAAAACATAAATAAAATTAGTCACACGTACAAATCCTCTGTATACAATGCATCTGTTATTCATTCGCGTCTCATTATTAAGATTAGTAATATCCAATTACCAATAGTAGAATAAGAGAAATTAATTATTCACGGATTTCACTCGATTCATGCGGGATACTATTTTGTTTCTTCATTTGTCGGCCTTTATGATGATTTAGTTGCTACAAGAATGCAAGGTAACAACAATACAGAAAAGTATTCATAGGGTGGCAAATATAAAACTGATACCAATTTTAAAGTCCGCATGTCAAAATGATTTAGAATTTTAAATCTTTAAAACTTCTATAATTTAGAAATATTTACGGAAATTTGGATTACTACAATCCGCGTTAGGCATCATTTTATATCTCATCAGAAAAGCAAAAGTCAGAAATTTATTTTTATGTATTTGTGAAAATTTTCATGGTAATAACTTAAAGTAAGGGTGAGGGTGCGGGTGGTAGTGCAGATGTGGATGAAAATAGAGAAGTAGCTTTCTGATTTCTACTTTTCTGCTGTCACAATTGATAGAGGTATTACAGTAGATTTCTGACTTCTACTTTGGTATTTACCAATGACACTCTTATATGAATATGATGAATTATCATCATTATATAGAATAATTTTAAAATTTTATATCAGAAAGTAAACTTCTGGTTGTTAGTGTTAATAGGGTGTGGGTGTGAGAGTAGATTTCTACGGAATATGCAGGAATCAGAGGTAGAAATTTGCTGAAAACTGTTTACAATTCGGGATTTGCCACGCCCTCAAAGTATTGAAACGCGACTGGAAGCGGTTTCGTCAAATTGATGGCGAATGTATTTTCTCTTTTGAAAACGAATGTTAATGTCTATTGTCAAACTTTGTACACCTTCTCGTCAGGCAATATTTAAATATATCATCTGATTTTGGTGTGCTCCTATTTTCTTTCTCAAACAACGAGACAAAGATATGATTCGAAATGTAGTCAATTTATTATTCACAGAAGAAAATTTTCAATAGATACATAGATCAATTAGTTAGATCATAAGTCTTATTTAGAGCTTTTTAGCGTAAATATTGATAGCCATAAGCAGGACGATAATAAGTATTATATCCATAACCAGTCATATTATTGTATCTTTGACCAAATGTTGGATTAGGATTTCCACCCATCATGTTGTCCAATGCTTGACCAAGAGGACCTGAGTGACAAGAAAGATGAGAATAAATAGTGTATATGACAGCGATTTACTTACTGTTTAATCCACCTGGAACATTTTGTTCAATCCATAAATCCGAGAGTAATTCGTTCATTACAGCTGGATTGCGATAAGCGTTTAAACCGTACATATTTGAATTAGTGAGTAGAACGTTTGAGACAATGTATAAATCAAACAAAATTTATTCTGTCTTTTATACTAAATGCATATGTCCTTGTATGACATACCCAAATGCGTAGAACAACGAATGAAAAAGTGACTCATATTCTGTATATAGTGTGATGACGTAGGTTTATTACGATATTTATTTTCGTATTGCTCTTCATTAATGAATAGTTATGACGACTACAAAGTTAAAATATGTTGACGTGTTGGCTACTTAGATCAATCTAGAATAGATTATTCTACGTCATCAAATAGCGTCAAGGAGATAGGATGATGCACGAATGTTGCTCTTTTGATTATGATATGGAGGTGATTGTTTAATGGTGAATCGAGCATCAACAACAACGCGTAAGCGATTTTCGAGATGTATTCTACTATACCGTCAAAGAAAGAATAAATCATATAAAACTCAACAGTGATGGAATCAAGGAGATAAAATAGGTACCGAGATTTGTCAGGTAGTTACTCAAGGATGAGTCCTACCAAAAATATTGAACAAAACCCAAAACAGATCGATGAAATAATAGGATGGTAGTATTATAGTTTATCAGCCAAAGAAAACAAGCAGTTAAAGACCACAATTGTATTTCGTTGTTGTTGTTCTTTTCTTCTATCTCATTATGTACCAGTTCATGAATGATCGCAGCGGTAATAAATAATAGCAGATCTCATGGCCAATAAATATTTTGTACTATTTTCGAGATAAACTTGAGGTTCAGAGAAGTTCTTATAATAACCCTTTCATCGTTCTTCAAAAGTGTCTTTTCAAACTGATTCACAGAACTGAAGCTATCTTTATAAAGATGATGACATATATAAATATTACTATCCACCGGTAACAATGTCAATTAGCAAAGCTTCATGACGAAAACATTGGATTACGTGTGTTTAATTTTGATGAGTATATCTATCAGGCGATTGTTAAGCATGTCGATTTGATACCGGATAAACAATCTATTTGGCGAGTAGTCTGATCGAGCAAAAACTATACTATATACTTACGAAGATGTTTCAAAATAGTTGTGATTGGATAAGATCCGATAGCGAAAGTCCTGACATTCTCTTCTTCAAAACACCAGTAGCTACAAGCAACGTGTAAGCTTTTGTTGAACCAAAGTTGAACATGCGATTGGGACTAATTATTATCGTAGATGCTATTATTCTTCTTCAAAATCTGCTTGATAGATAGATTGCCTGGATCAAAACTATTCTCGTATATATAACTGCATATACCGACGCCACTTTGAACACAAAAACTATAATAGTTAGTCTCACTATTGCTTATATACGTTGGACTGTTTGTACGCAACGTAGTTGTATAAGCCCATTGACATAATGAACGTTTATATAGTAATGAAAAATACAATTAGAATAGTTTACAATCAACAGGTGTGTACATTGAACTATCTACAGTGAATGCCGATCCATTAACATCTGAACACCTAAACACGCATTTGTACTCACATTGAGAGATCTTTTCTGTACAAGTTCTATTAAAACATTAACATACATATATTCGTTCAAGATAAGAAGGACACTGGGAATAAGACAATGTCTCGAAGGTAGTTTTTGTCAAATCAATACTTCCTTAATACCGCGTACATATGTACATACTGTCTGTGAGACTCTATTATACAGATAGCATTGTCTCTATCAACCGTACTAGAATTCCAACATGTATATTGAGACAATCGCGACTCGTTCTGAAAAGATACTAAAAGAAGCAGACATTCTGATTGTCTAGAAATGGACTGTCATCGCGTAGAAAGTCAGAGAAACGCTGCCGAAGATGATCATCTGACCGTTTCAATGTTTACCGAGCGAAGACAAACAAATTTTCAGAACGCCTATGTCAATTTTCATCCCTCGATATATTATACGACATCAATAGAAAAAATAGAAGACAACTGTCCGAATTACATTCACTTTCTTATTCTATTTCTCAGAATATTTTTTTGAAAAACGCATGATTTCGCCTGGATTCATTGATTATTTATTAATCAACTATGCCATCACACGCACAAATTCTAGCTGCCCATAATTTGTTGACGAAACCATTATCGAAAGTAAATTATACAAAGCGACGTCAAAACCCACGCGTCAAGAATATAAAAAAACGAGATAAAGTGACATTTCGATATATAGTTGCTATCAAGTAACGTCATCTGAATTTATTTTTATTACACTGACAAAAACATCGCCCATATACATATACGTATTTCAACAAATCTTCTCAGAGTTCGATTTTTTCGTTCACTAAATATGATTGGTATTCCTGTCAATCCAAATTCAGTTTATATTCCCATAGTACAAAGTAATTTCATGCGACTTTTCGACTGCTCGTTCCAATCTTCTATTTTTAGCTGGATGTTTAAAATTCGAATTCGATTCGACTTATCCAGTTCATTTAAATGGCATCATAAGTCAAGGTGAATATAACGAATCTATTCAAAGAATCAATCGATCCATATCATCGACTCGACTCTTATGGTTAATCAGTCTTATTTTTATCATTACTATGATAGTTGGCGTTATATTGTTCATTGTTGGTGGTGTCACTGCAACTCATTATTATCCATATAGATTTCCACCAATGATCGCGATTGGTATGGCTTTAACGGTACTTGGATCATTCATTTTTGGAATTGGATGCTGCAGCATACAATTTCGACGATTAAATAAAATGCGACGAGCTGTGGCCGACGAATCAAGAAAATATTCATCACATTCACAAACACCATGCAGTTGGAGATTGGATACAACGACTACTTATACTGGATATTATGGAAATCAACATAGACATCAGGTCACTTATCATGTAAGTCGACTCCTTTCAAAGTTTTTGCTTTATTCTTATGAATACCTATCAGATCGTCATCGATATTGGTCGTTCTGTCGATCCCAACAGCGTGGTGTATTTTCATAATCAGGTCGCTCCCGATCCAACGACAGTTTTCAGTGGACCAAACACCTATGCACCTCCGCCCTATTCAGGACAACCGAATAGTTATTGTCCGCAATGTAATACATTACGAAGAGATTTAACTGGTCGATTTTGTTCATCATGCGGTTACTCCTTTCATAAATACTAACAGGAAAATAATTCTGTATGACTTATATGTTTGTGCGTATTCCATTTCTTTTGCATACTAATAAAAAACGTGGAAAAATAACATGAATATATTAAATTCATCATACTGACTAGCAATAACATGACAGTGCATTTGACGATGTATTTTTTCATCCTGTTATTTAACGAGGACAGCGAAACTCAACGACATATTGATATTCTTTCTTTTCTCTCGGTCGATCAAATGCTGACTGTTATTGTTGATCTAAAATGACGATATGCGTAAGAAGAACAGATTAGAAAAATTTCAGTTCTCCCGTTATATTTTATTAGTAATGTGATCTATAGTCGTGTAGAGAAAGAAAAACACCCGTATTTCTAGAATCCTTCGGAGCTCGACAAGTTGTCATAATTACGCGTTATTTTGTTGTAGTTTTCATCAAAACAACAGAAAAACAATGATTAGCTTTTCGAATGTTTTCAATTCTATACATGTACCGATGATTCCGAGTATGTGCTCTTGTCTATTTTTGTCTCATCCATGTACATATTTTCTGTTGTGTAGAAGGATGCCTAAAAGCCGAATTCGATTCGACATATCCGGTGCATCTGAACGGTATTATCAATCAAGATGAGTATCACCAATCAATTCAAAATATTAATCGAGCAGTATCTTCGAATAAAACTGCACTTATAATCTATTCACTTATTTTTGCATTCGGTATAATTGGTGGTATGATATGCTTTATCATTGCTGGCGTAAAGGCGATTAACACACCACATTCTACATTTTCAATTTTGATTTCGGTTGGATTTCTTTTAACATTCATCAGCTCGATTGTATTCAGTATTGGAATATTTCTCATTCATTCCAAACGTACGAATAAATTACGGCAAATAATTGCACAAGAATCGGCAAAATATTCGTCTAGATCGCCCGTTCCTTGCAGTTGGCGATTGAACATTGTCAGCACTTGGAATAGAGGATTTGCTTACCATCGAAATGGACAATCTACTTATGATGTAAGTGTATGCACAAATATTTAGGGTTTAGACAATCTTTGTGTTTTCTTTTTGTTTCTAGTTGATTATTGATATTGGCAATTATGTTAATCCTCACAACGGAAATACAGTGCGTTATTCCAATCCTATGGCGTCACAGCCAACGATTGGATTTGGAATAAGTGATCATTACACACCACCACCGTATTCAGCTCAACGTACAATGGAAGTTTGCTCCCAATGTGGTACAGTAAGACAAGATCTAACAAATAAAGGATGTTCAGCATGCGGGCGACTGTTTAATTCGTAATGAAAATATTTATTGTAATTTAAATGAAATTATAAAATAATAAATGATTATCTCAGATTGAAGAAGAAAAAAGTACTGTTTCCTATCAGTGGTATTTCAGCAAACATCTTCCTTAGCACGAACAATGGATAGAGAGAGAAAGATGCTTTCGTCAATCTCATATTCAATCTTGTTCTGCAATACTGGTTAAATTAATTCAATTTATGAAAACAAACATACCGATATGGAACGGCACACGCTCTCAAAAAACAATATTCAGACAATTTTTTATGTATTTTTGACAGCCTACATCGATTGGCTATACCCTAGCAATAGTGACTGTCATTTCTAGAGTACAGTTATGATTTTAGCTTTTCTTTCAGTACGAATAAGTCATAAAAACTTGTCGGCACCGCGACGATCTCATATATTAGCTATTCTCACAAATGGAGAAGTCTATCTGAACACTTCTGAAATGTATGATCTATTTACATGTATTTGAACAATAATAAAAACGCATGAATGCTGTGCGAACTTTCTATACTGCCTCCATTCTATCAAGTGGAGATGCATTGATTGTGGGTAGATATAATGGTAATGTGTCTTTTGACAGTGCTGAACTGTATTACATTATTTAACGTAAATTATCGTGCGAATGACTGATATAAAATTATGATTAGATGTCAAGTAACATGAAAAAAATACGTCATTCTAATGTTGATCTATCTTATTTTATGCAGGACAAAAACGAGAAATCTCATTATTTATATTCAATAAAACATAAGAATAGATTATATCCAATATAATGATAAACATAAAACAAAATTTTTCCTATCGAATTGTCAACACCTTAGCAGATCGCGATTCTCACCTCTATGCTACTCAGCAAATAAATGTCTTTGCCGGTGTCCTAGGAAATTTACTTACAACTATTAACAGGCTTACTTTCACGTATTACAATCAACGTATCGGATGTTGATTGGACCATCTCGACAGTTATATCTATCGTGCGCATATGCCTTGTGACTTTCAGCCGTCTCGGTTATTTTCTGTTTCATCATTGCCACTCCATGTTTTATTTACTTTACATATCTTGTTTCACCTGCTACAGGAAAGATTACGTGTGTAACAACGAACAATTTCGGTTCTAAGTTGAATATTTACTTGTATCTTTTGATAATGAGTAATCTTTTACCGATCCTCATTAGATATAAGTGTAAGTCAAGACGCACTTGCTCAAGCACGATTTCAATTAGCTAATACCATGTTTGGACATATATATGACATGAACGGACTGGAGTGGTTTTTATTGAGGGAACAAAAAAGGAAGGAGCACAGATTGGCTTTGTTTAGGTAGTACAATAGCGCAGACGGCAGGCTGGCGGAGCAAGAAGAGCGAAAACATAGTATTCTTTGCAATTAGTGACCCATATAGTATTGGACCATTGACATGATTTACCAGGCCAACTGTAACACACCGTTCCTTCAATAGTAGCGCCTGCTGCTGATGGATATACACCTTTGAACCAGCCGACTCCTTGTGTACCACATCGAAATGGTTCAGCTGCACCAGTTACCAGCCGAGTACCAGCACCGCCTGAAAATCGTACCCAAGTAGGTGTGGCCTTGAAAACATCCTTATCACAGGCAACGCCACTAGCAGCAGTAGCACGACGATTACTATCGGTGATCAATTGGTAAGTTGTACATTGAGATGGAAGTTTACCATCAGCAGGTATTCCTGTTGGTATGGTAAAATTGAGTGGAACTGTTGTAGTGGATTTTGTTGACATAGTTGTCGTTGTGCGTGTCGTAGTCGGTCGCGTTAATGTTGTTGAACGCATCGTTGTTGTTGGGCGTGTTGATGCTGTTGAACGCATCGTTGTTGTTGTTGTTACCGAAGCTTTTGTTGATGCAGATGAAGCTGTCTGATTATTACTGGAACGCTTCGCAAAACAATTTCCATCAGTAGGTTTCTTGAAACCAATGCTTGGCATTGAAGTAACAGTTTTTGCTGTACCCGGATTTGGAAATTCAATGGCATGGCCAGAGTAGCTGCGGCATTGACCAGCACCAATTTGACCAGGAAGTGTCATGTCACCAACAAACATATCAGGCAAATCGTATAATGTGCTTGTTCCCGAGCCAGTAATCTCAACAACGGCACAGTCTATCGTTCAAAAGAAAAACAAATACCATGGAGATAATGCAGTTGAGACTCGTTTTTCGAAAACATACTTTGGTACATTTCGTTACGGTTACCGGTGACAGCAATCCATGACCTAAATAGTAAATGTTTTTCTTTGACTTGTTCATTATAACGAAAAAGCCTACCATGAAAACAATGCGATTCCTGCTTTTGTGTTTGCTGGTACCATGAAGGGAAATGTTTGATTTTTATCAGCAATATTCGAGCCAAGACGAACACCTCTCGGACATCCACCAATGAATGTGTGTAAAACTTTCCATGTTTCACCATTGTCGAAAGAAAGTGAAGCCTGACAACTGCCTCCACTATGTGCTGCCAGAGAACCTTCTCCAGATGATCCATGACCAAGAATTCTAAACGATACGATTCATTTGACCCACATACATTTGTATGCGATCTTACTCGAAACGTGTCATCTCTCCTGCTCTCCATGTTTCTGTGGGATTTTTGTTAACACCAGCTTTCTTATGTAAACCCTTGCATGGAAATTCACTTCCATCCGGTCGTAATGGAGCATTATAATAATTACCAGCTGGACTATCATCAGAAGCTGCCAGTGGTCGAGGATGTTTAATTCGAGCATGTCCCATAACACCGAAGATGAAACATAGCAATGGAAGCGCAATTACCCAATGCATAGAATGCATGATGTGATCGATCTAAAAGTGCACACACTGCCGCAATTATACATATATCAATACGAAAAGCTTTTTATATTGTTATTCTGGCATAAATATATCAAATTTCTCTCATATAATAATAATCGTCCCACTTTTGAATATCGACTAAAATGAAACGAGATATTGCCCTTCCGCTTATCGAAAACAAGAAAATATTTATTTATCTTCATACGTCTGAAAAGATTGGAATACTTAACAATCTCCTTAATAAAATGTCAATATTTATGTTCTAATCAATGAAAATTTGTTGTTATTCATCTTTATTCATGTAGAAATATAAGCTTGAGGATTTATCTTCCATTATTCTTTCTATTCACATTTGAATCAATGTTGACTTTATCCTTGATTCTTGTATTATTCTCAAAGCCTCGGTGAGAACAAAAGTTAAGTCGGACCGCACTTTTAATGAAGTACTCCCTTCTACTCCATTTATTTATACATACATCAAATAAAACTTTCTGTCTTGTGGAATCTTTTCCAGCCTGTGTAGTTACGAATGAAGGTCGTACTCTATGACTCATTTATTTAAAAAAGTTATTACTTTAAATAGAGAGAAGAAGCCTTTTTTCCTTCGTTCTGTCACTGAACAAAAAGAAAATCATAAAAGCGTGCTTTCACACGCGTCTATTTCTTCTAAAACTCCTTTTCCAAAACTAGAGACACAGAGAGAATTTTTTTTCTCTTTTAGAAAATGAGCTATTCTTGCAACAAAATGACAAAATGAAAAGCATTTACCTTTGAGCAAACAACTTTCCTTTCACTCCACAGATGGAATTTAATAAACACAATACAATCTCTTTGGTTATCATATTTTTTACTACATTGATTTTTTTGTTATTCTTATCAAAATTGCCACGGTATAAACAATGGTCTTTCGATCATCAGTATATTTTAAACCTTTTCGATTCTCCGAGTAAATTCACTTGTGTAAAATTGACGATACACGTTTGATTTGTTTTTCTCTTGGTAGAGCAATTGCAGAATGCAACTTCACTTTCCTCAATCAATACTTCCGAGATTCTTTTAATTTATGTTTATGCAAATGTTCATGTACACGCATATGGAAATTTGAAATATTTTATTGAAACTGCTGTTCGTGAAAATGACGGTGTTGATTATGTGTTTATATTGCAACAAACGGAAAACAAACCAATCGACGAAACAATACTACCACGACTACCACAAACAAATGCATTTTATTTTCAACATGAAAATAAATGCTTCGATTATGGAACGATGGGTTGGTTTTTCGACCAATTTACAATCGGTAATCCGTGGCAGCCAAGTACTTCTGTAACAGAACATATCAATAGAAATAACCATTCAAATGCAGTATTCAATTTAAAACAATATAAATATTTTATTTTTATGAATTCATCTATTCGTGGCCCATTTTTTCCTCCATATTTTCTGAAATTTGCATCGGATTACCAAATGGAATATCATAAACCTTTTCATTGGTACACCATCTTCATACGACGTCTCAATGACAAAGTGAAACTGGTCGGTGGGACTATTAGTTGTATTCCTGTTCCACATGTTCAATCATATTTACTCGTCACAGATTCTATCGGCTTTTCAATTTTACTGAAAAGCTCTACGGCCAGCACGGGAAGAATTTATGCGGGTGTGTTTGGATGTTATCCATCGAAAAGTGATACGACAGCAATCAGTGAACTCGGTATATCCAAACTGATACTTGATTCAGGTTATATGATGAGTAGTCTTATGTCAAAACATCAAATGATTGACTTTTCGAAGAATGCGACTTATAACTGTCAAGTGTATGCGAATCCATATTCGGATAGAAGCGTCGATGGAAGTTCACTAGAGCCTTACGACGTTGTCTTTGTGAAATTTAATGCGAAAAAAACGACAACAGATGCACAAGATCGAGCGATGCTTTATCAAAGATGGATGGAAGAAACGAAAGCCAAAAACAGAACATTAAGATAGAAAATAATTTTTTTATATAAATAGGAATAACTTGTGAAGAGCTCTAGTCTTTTATAAAAACATTTAATGAGTACAATCAGATAAAAAAAGGCAATTATTTGGTGTTCGTACGTCTGTTGCCGATTCGACATGAAGTTAGCAATGGCTTGGCAACGAGACAATTTTCACCTTCTTCCGAGTTACTGTAAGCATCATAACAGTAGGAGAAAGAAAACAAAAGGAACGAAAAAAGTGTCTGCATGAGAAATACCTACTTTCAATGCTGAAATATTATTCTGCATGCGCAAAAATATAAGTCGTGAATAAACATACCGAATTTTTTTCAAATAGTTACTATTTGTTAAAGCACACTTTATTCGACGAAATATACCGGTGCGAATGAATCGATTTTTGGAAGGCGAAATCGGCAACAAAAAGCTACCACCCATCGGTGCATATTGGCAGCATTCTCTGCTTCCAATTGAACAAGCTTTGGAACCAGTCAAGGCTAATATTGATGGATTGGACCGGTCCATTAAAGAAGCCAAAAGACATTGCTGTCACCCATCACCACATCAACTTACGAAAGATGAATCTGCTGCTATATATCTCTATACTATGGAAGGCGGAGACAACAGCTTCTATCGCATTTTAAACGAAGCTCTTCGCTCCGAAAACCGACGAGCACTACGATCTTGGTTCGGCTTCTTGAAACTCTTCGACACAGCTCTCTCAAAGCTACCTGCTGTGAAAACGTCAGTGTGGAGAGGAATATCCGGTAACATCAGTCAGCAATTCAAGAGAGGTGAACTCTTAACATGGTGGAGCATTAGCTCATGTTCAGTGGAAGTCGATGTTGTTCAAGACTTTTTGGGAAAGAACATAAACGCCACTCTTTTGATGATTGTAACTAAAAGTGCCAAAGATGTTAGCAGATACACAAGTTTTCCCGATGAAAAAGAAGTTATATTAGGACCGGGAACTCAACTACGTGTGAAAGGCAATGCACTACAACATGGTACATTGCAGATTGTTCACTTGGTTGAAGTTTCCGATGACGATGGTGATGATCAGGAATCATTACCGGCAGCTGTGGGTTCTATGACATTAAACTCACAATCAAAGAACACAGGTATGCTTCAATATGAACATATTGCGTTTTTGACAGTAGAGCATTAGTCAAAGAAATAATCCAGTCAATTTTTCTACTATTCTAGAACCCAAACAAGTGTCATCAGCTTCAGCAGTACCAGTAATGAAGAAACCAGCGTCATTGAGTGAGTTTACTTAAATTCTTATTAGACGAGTGTAGCCATGGAAATATTGCGACTGAAAACACTCACCTGAACAGCTCTGTTCCGCATAGGTGACATACTGCACCAGACGCGTGTGAAAATATGCATCTAGACGAGCGCACAGCTATTCATCATTTGAATATTATGTGACCAGCTTCATGAGCTTTATCCATATACGACTATTCATCTAGGCAATATAAGAAAAGCAAATATATAAACAACTAGAACATTACCGGGTTAACGCACGTTTCCATCAATGAGATCGGTTTTAGGAGTTACGCTTAGGTAATATATGCTTAAAAGTGAATACTATAACGAATGATAAAACTTCTATGCATATGTGTGCTATCGGTTCAATTCTTCCAGCCAATAAATTCCTTCCTGTATTGGCACTATCTTTTATTCACTCTTCCTCGGCTACCTCTTCCGCTTTGCTGGAGAAAAACACTCATCATTATTTCATGTAGAGTCAGGGCGGCTTAGAGATCTGTTTATCTATTGTAATTTCGTACCATAAGCCCTGCCAATGATATACCGCCGATTCTCTGATGAAAATCCTCTCTAATCTATTCATAATTAAGTTGCGTCGTTATCATTCCCAATCTTTTAGTCACTTACCAACGTTAATCTTCATATACCATCGCTACTTCTACATTTAGATACCAACAAGAAAAACATACCAGTATCATCAAACCGCAAACACTACGTTTGTCAGCATTCTAGCTGTGATAATAGATAATATTCATCTATAACACAGTGAGAGTTTAGCGCAAACACCAAAGCATATAATACGCAGAGAACATCGGATTTTCGAAAACTTTCATCGCTGCGATTAACTCTGTCTGAATTTCATACCATCCCTAATGGTATATGTCGATACACTAAGAGGTAACAAGATACGCGTATCGTGAACAGCTTTCGGTAACTGTGATAGTATCCAAAGAGGGTGTGAGGGTGGACGATGCGATCAACAGGCAGTGTTCACTTGCAAGTGAGCATCACACTTGAACAGAGTGATTATGAGAATGATTGATTTGTGATGTGATGGTGGATAATGTGATCATCTGGCAGTGTTCACTTGCAAGTGGGCATCACACTTGAACAGAGTGATGGTGAGAATGATTTGTTTTTGATGTGATGGTGGATGATGTGATCAACAGGCAGTGTTCACTTGCAAGTGAGCATCACCCTTGAACAGGGTGATGATGAGAATGATTGATTTGTGATGTGATGGTGGATAATGTGATCAACAGGCAGTGTTCACTTGCAAGTGAGCATCACACTTGAACAGAGCGATGATGAGAATGATTGATTTGTGATGTGATGGTGGATGATGTGATCAACTGGCAGTGTTCACTTGCAAGTGGGCATCACACTTGAACAGAGTGATCGTGAGAATGATTGATTTGTGATGTGATGGTGGATGATGTGATCAACAGGCAGCGCTAACTTGCAAGTGAGCGCGATTCCCCAATAGCATATTTGTGTGCCCTGTACTTCCGACCTGTTCCTACGAATCGCATTCCTTTTTCTCGTCGTCCAATTCTAAGCGAGCATCACACTTGAACAGAGTGATACTCAGAATGATTGATTTGTGATGTGATGGTGGATGATGTGATTAATAGGCAGCTTTCACTTGCAAGTGACCATCACGCTTGAACAGAGTGATGGTGAGAATGATTGATTTGTGATGTGATGGTGGATGATGTGATTAACAGGCAGCGTTCCCTTGCAAGTGAGCCTCACACTTGAACAGAGTGATAGTTAGAATGATTGATTTGTGATGTGACGGTGAATGATGTGATCAACTGGCAGCGTTCACTTCCAAGTGAGCATCACACTTGAACAGAGTGATCCTGAGAATGATTTATTTGTGATGTGATGGTGGATGATGTGATCAACTGGCAGTGTTCACTTCCAAGTGAGCATCACACTTGAACAGAGTGATCGTGAGAATGATTGATTTATGATTCGATCGTGGATGATGTGATTAACAGGCAGCGTTCACTTTCAAGTGAGCATCACACTTGAACAGAGTGATGGTGAGAATGATTGATTTATGATTCGATCGTGGATGATGTGATTAACAGGCAGCGTTCACTTTCAAGTGAGCATCACACTTGAACAGAGTGATGGTGAGAATGATTGATTTGTGATGTGATGGTGGATGATATGATCAACTGGCAGCTTTCATTTGCAAGTGACCATCACGCTTGAACAGAGTGATGATGAGAATGATTGATTTGTGATGTGATGGTGGATGATATGATCAACTGGCAGCTTTCACTTGGAAGTGAGCATCACACTTGAACAGAGTGATCGTGAGAATGATTGATTTGTGATGTGATGGTGGATGATGTGATCAACTGGCAGTGTTCACTTTCAAGTGAGCATCACACTTGAACAGAGTGATCTTAAGAATGATTGATTTGTGATTCGATCGTGGATGATGTGATTAACAGGTAGCGTTCACTTTCAAGTGAGCATCACACTTGAACAGAGTGATTATGAGAATGATTGATTTGTGATTTGATCGTGGATGATGTGATTAACAGGCAGCGTTCCCTTGCAAGTGAGCATCACACTTGAACAGAGTGATCTTCAGAATGATTGATTTATGATTTGATCGTGGATGATGTGATTAACAGGCAGCGTTCACTTGGAAGTGAACATCACACTTGAACAGAGTGATCGTGAGAATGATTTATTTGTGATGTGATGGTGGATGATGTGATCAACTGGCAGTGTTCACTTCCAAGTGAGCATCACACTTGAACAGAGTGATCTTAAGAATGATTGATTTGTGATGTGATGGTGGATGATGTGATCAACTGGCAGCGTTCATTTGCAAGTGCGCATCACACTTGAACAGAGTGATAGTGAGAATGATTGATTTGTGATGTGATGGTGGATGATGTGATTAACAGGCAGCGTTCACTTGCAAGTGAGCATCACACTTGAACAGAGTGATCTTCAGAATGATTGATTTATGATTTGAGCGTGGATGATGTGATTAACAGGCAGCGTTCACTTGGAAGTGAGCATCACACTTGAACAGAGTGATGGTGAGAATGATTGATTTGTGATGTGATGGTGGATGATGTGATCAACTGGCAGTGTTCACTTTCAAGTGAGCATCACACTTGAACAGAGTGATCTTAAGAATGATTGATTTGTGATTCGATCGTGGATGATGTGATTAACAGGTAGCGTTNAATTCAAGAAAGGTGAACTTTTAACATGGTGGAGCATTAGCTCATGTTCAGTGGAAGTCAATGTTGTTCAAGACTTTTTGGGAAAGAACATAAACGCCACTCTTTTGATGATTGAAACTAAAAGCGCCAAAGATGTTAGTAGATACACAAGTTTTCCCGATGAAAAAGAAGTTATATTAGGACCGGGCACTCAGCTACGTGTGAAAGCCAACGCACTGCAACATGGTACATTGCACATTGTTCACTTGGTTGAAGTTTCCGATGACGATGGTGATGATCAGGAATCATTACCGGCAGCTGTGGGTTCTATGACATTAAACTCACAATCAAAGAGCACAGGTATGCTTTAATATGAATATATTGCCTTTTTGATAGTAGAGCATTAATCAAAGAAATAATCCAGTCATATTTTCTACTATTCTAGAACCAAAACAAGTATCATCAGCTTCAGCAGTCCCAGTACCGAAGAAACCAGTGTCATCTAGTGAGTTTACTTAAATTATTCTAAGAAAAGTGTAGTTATGGAAATATTGCGAGTGAAAACACTCACCTAAACAGTTTTGTTCCGCAGAGGTTGCATACTGCTCTAGACGCGTGTGAAAATAAAATATGCATCTAGGCAAGCGCACAGCTATTCATCATTTGAATATTATGTGACCAGCTTTATGAGCTTCATCCATATACGACTATTCATCTAGGCAATATAAGAAACACAAATGTATAAACAACTAGAAGATTACCGAGTTAACGCACGTTTCCACCAATGAGATCCATTTTACTGCTTACGATTAGATAATATATGCTTGATAGTGAATACTATAGCGAATGATAAAAATTCAATGCATGTGTGGGCTATGGGTTCAATTCTTCCAGCGAATAAATCCCATTCTGTACTGGCACTATCTTTTTTCCACTCTTCATCGGTTACCTATTCCACTTTCCTGGAGAAAAACACTCATAATTATTTCATGCAGGGTGAGGGTGACTTCGAAACCTGTTTATCTATTATAATTTCACACCATAAGTCCTGCCAATGATATACCGCCGATTCTCAGAGAAAAATCCTCTCTAATCTATTCATAATTCAGTTGTTTCGTTATCATTCCCGATGTTTTAGCCACTTTCCAACGTTAATCTTTATATACAATCGCTATTTCTACATTTAGATCCGAACAAGAAAAACATACCAGTATCCTCAAAACGCAAACACTACGTTTGTCAGCATCCTAGCTGTGATAATACATAATATTCATATATAACGCAGTGCGGGTATAGCGTAAACACCAAAGTATACAATACGCAGAAAATACCAGAAATTCGAAAACGTTCGTCGCTGCGATTAACTCTGTGTGAATTTCATACCATCCCTAATGGTATACATCGATACACTAAGAGGTAACACGATACGCGTATCGTGAACAGCTTTCGGTAACTGTGATAGTATCCAAAGACTTCGCGATGGTGGATGATGTGACCAACTGGCAGTGTTCACTTGCAAGTGAGCATCACACTTGAACAGAGTGATCCTCACAATGATTGATTTGTGATGTGATGGTGGATGATGTGATCAACTGGCAGTGTTCACTTGCAAGTGAGCATCACACTTGAACAGAGTGATAATGAGAATGATTGATTTGTGATGTGATGGTGGATGATGTGATCAACTGGCAGTGTTCACTTCCAGGTGAGCATCACACTTGAACAGAGTGATTATGAGAATGATTGATTAGTGATGTGATGGTGGATGATGTGATCAACTGGCAGTGTTCACTTGCAAGTGAGCATCACACTTGAACAGAGTGATAGTGAGAATGGTTGATTTGTGATGTGATCGTGGATGATGTGATCAACTGGCAGTTTTCACTTGCAAGTGAGCATCACACTTGAACAGAGTGATGGTGAGAATGATTGATTAGTGATGTGATGGTGGATGATGTGATCAACTGGCAGTGTTCACTTGCAAGTGAGCATCACACTTGAACAGAGTGATCGTGAGAATGATTGATTAGTGATGTGATGGTGGATGATGTGATCAACTGGCAGTGTTCACTTGCAAGTGAGCATCACACTTGAACAGAGTGATCCTCACAATGATTGATTTGTGATGTGATGGTGGATGATGTGATCAACTGGCAGTGTTCACTTGCAAGTGAGCATCACACTTGAACAGAGTGATACTGAGAATGATTGATTTGTGATGTGATGATGGATGATGCGATCAACTGGCAGTGTTCACTTGAAAGTGAGCATCACACTTGAACAGAGTGATGGTGAGAATGATTGATTTGTGATGTGATGGTGAATGGTGTGAGCTAGTTGCGGAAGACACTGGCTGATGATTGTGGTAGTATTCAATAATTACATGATCAGGAAATAATGGGGAAGTCAGAGAAGATATTTAAATTGGGGTAGAATTTAGGTTGCGTTACGTGAGGGTAAAGGTTGGATAGTTGTCGGAGAAACTATGCTGTTTGGGATTCGACTCATACAAGAATGGAATCAGGTATCCATGCAGGTGGAGTACTAAAAGTACTTTGGAAGTAGTAGTGTAATGACAAACTGGTTGAGTAGCTGACCGCTTCTCACGGTATAGATGTTTATTGACTACTCTACATGGCCAGAATGTATCTCTTTCACAATAAAACACGCGCTTATATAGAGAAGAGGAAAGAGAGAGATGACCCGGAGATAGTATGATATAGAGGTGAGAGGATAAAGAACAGAAAGAGATGAACGATATCATTATCGTTACAAGTAGGGCCTGGCGTTTTGATGGTTGAATTGTTGATTTGTGTGCTGGAAAGTTTTGTGTTGTGTCGAACCGTCGAGAATATCGGCTATAATATCAATATTAGTTGGAAGCGACTCGCTGTGCGCTTATATCAAGTCGCGGCAGTGATTACAAAGATTACGGGGAATACTCCTCGAGTATAATGAGTGATTCTGCATAAGATTCTAGTGTCATCTCACTAGCGAGTTTTTTCAATGATTATGCACCACTTTTCTGGATAATTTACTTAAGAAAAATTCGCTCTTCTGAAAGTTTTTCGAATAAGATGGGTCGATAGTTGGTCAAATAATGAAAACAATCTGAGTAGGAGTAGACGATGTAGTTTGAGGCTAGCAATGTTTGTAGAATGGTGAAAATGGGATGACAAGAGCGAAAGTGTTTTTTTTCTATAGCATCGTAACGTAAGCATTTCTTTTTCTCTTACACTCCTTTCGGTTACAGACTGACGAAAGTTCAAGACTCAAACGGATCTTCTTTATAGTAAATAATGAAATTCGACGATGTTTCTAGTGGAGAGCTTTGGAGGGGAGAAAAATTTCAGTTGGGTAGTGGAAGCCGTGCACCTTATGTGAATAGCGTTAACACCATCGAATGGTGGCTAAACTTGGCAACAGGGTAGTATAGGCCAGTTCTGATTAAAAGGTAAACCATTATAAATCATGGTATCATATGTGAGAAATATGATTTGATGAAATGGTCCTATAAATGGAGGATGCGCTTTTTTCACCCTAAGTATTGGCAGTTCTGGACATTCGATCTTGCTTCAGGGTGTAAATAGGACAAGGAGTAATGATTTTTCTAAAATGTATATCAACTTCAAGAATAATACCGAAGGCGCTCCGGCCGTGTGAGAAGTTTACGTTTCTAGTCAAAATCGACTTTCCAACGCGGAACTGTTTTACTTTGGTAATAAACAAAGACTATTTTAGAAGCTCCGATGCAAATCTTTCATTGTCACAACTTAACCTGATCGAGCACAGTGAGATTTATTAATGAACAATTGCATCGCGTGTGAAGTTCCGCCTTACTGCTAAATTCGCAGATGATTTACCCGTTGCAGTAAACACACTAAATATATGTACCTTCACAGACACATTTGTTCAGTTTTTATTCAATGCTCTTCAAAGCAGAAGGTGACAGTATCAATTCAATTTCTCAGTATGTGTTCTATGTATGATAATATAATTGCTTTTATAATCTCACTAATCACATAATAGCGACGCAAATTCATATGTGTGAAATTATGGATACAACTGATGATAATGATCGGAAAGATATTTTCCGACCATCTTTCTGTCTTTTCATGAAAAATATACTGTCGTATTAATTATCTTCAATGAATTATTTCAGTCAAGAGACCAGCGATTCATCCTCGGCAAGCGCTACTTGTTTTTTTTTATCGCCGCACTATAAATATTATACAAAAAAAAAATTGAAATCAAAACCAAGCCTATGATTTCTTCACGAGATGCTTTCATACACATATCACTAAAAAGCATGATTCATTACCTTATCCGTTGAGAATCGATTGAAAACAAATAGTATTACAATCGTATACTTTGAATTTGTACTACTTCATCATTGAAATCACCCCAGCCTCCTAAGAATTTCAAAAACACTGGAAAATGGAAAGATCAATGACAAGTTCAAACGAAAGCGAGAAATCATTTTACTATCTACTATTATGATCGGATAATCCTATGCACACAGCAATATTTGAATGAAACAGAGGTTCTCCGATGTTGTTGATTCCATCATGTAGAGTAATGTCTGCGCAACTGCATAGTACAAGCTGCAGCGAATCTTCATTGACATAATATGCGAATATGTGTCCTATTTATGCATAGAGCATTAAATGTGAAAAATGTGGTCGTATCAGCTACCCATGTTCCATGGAATGGTGGATGATGTGATCAACTGGCAGTGTTCACTTGCAAGTGAGCATCACACTTGAACAGAGTGATCCTCAGAATGATTGATTTGTGATGTGATGGTGGATGATGTGATCAACTGGCAGTATTCACTTGCAAGTGAGCATCACACTTGAAGAGAGTGATTATGAGAATGATTGATTTGTGATGTGATGGTGGACGATGTGATCAACTGGCAGTGTTCACTTGCAAGTGAGCATCACACTTGAACAGAGTGATGATGAGAATGTTTGATTTGTGATGTGATGGTGGATGATGTAATCAACTGGCAGTGTTCACTTGCAAGTGAGCATCACACTTGAACAGAGTGATTATGAGAATGATTGATTTGTGATGTGATGGTGGATGATGTGATCAACTGGCAGTGTTCACTTGCAAGTGAGCATCACACTTGAACAGAGTGATTTTCAGAATGATTGATTTGTGATGTGATGGTGGATGATGTGATCAACTGGCAGTGTTCACTTGCAAGTGAGCATCACACTTGAACAGAGTGATACTGAGAATGATTGATTTGTGATGTGATGGTGGATGATGTGATCAACTGGCAGTGTTCACTTGCAAGTGAGCATCACACTTGAACAGAGTGATGGTGAGAATGATTGATTTGTGATGTGATGGTGGATGATGTAATCAACTGGCAGTGTTCACTTGCAAGTGAGCATCACACTTGAACATAGGGATTATGAGGGGACTTCGTGGATGATGTTTTGCTCAGTTTTATTAACATTGTTCGTCTTCCCCTCGAATGAAGCAAGGTTCTCGATATGAGGGATAAATGTAAAAGATGCGATCATAGATAGTATTCAAAAACTACGCCGAGTTTTGGATCAATATTGTGGTGATGATATCATTGGAAGTAACTAGTTTTTTTTTAATCGGGGGATATTTATTGCTATGACTGTTGTTTTACGTGATGTTTACTTATCAGACGATGTGTATCACAGTCATTACTTGCATTACGGTATCTGTTGTTCACGAGCATGTTTGAATGGGTAGATATATGAAGTTTTTTTTTACAGAAGTAAAGTAAAATAAACTGAGTGCGTTTTAAAGTAATACATATGCTTGAAGGATGAGAATAATCACTCGATGAGTTATGTTGGGTCATAAGGAAGCAAAATAGGAAGACTGACGTTTAACGTCCTTCTTTAATATTCCTGGTGTCCTAGGAAAAGGCGAATAGTTGAATGCCGAACAGGTTAATAGTGTGCTTTTTGAATTTTTCAAACTATCAAAGTGGCAGTTTGTAGATCGTGCATGGTTTTGAGTATACATTTTATGAGATCTGAAGAAGGATCAAAACAATGTCGAAAGTTGTTTCAGGATGTGATCATATAGCATTGAATCATGAGTGTGTTACTTTGATCACAAGATGAGCACTTATTACTTTTACAGTATATTCTCTGTTCTACGAATGCGAACGTATTCCGATTATGAAAGCAATTAAACAAAAGTTTCACACAACAGAATCATGGGAAATGACGAAGTAATATTATTTACTTTCATTACCTTTCACTAAGATCAAATCTTAATGCACTGGAGAGTTAGTTAAACTTTGCACACCATCTGAACAGCGAGGATATTTGTTTATTCGACACCGGCATGATTAAGTCAAAATAAACGTGAGACTATCCTAGACGCAAGTTTATGATCCACATATTGGTTGTGATCATTAGTCAAATGGTTTCTTTTTTGGAAATTCCGAAGAGAAGATAAGCTATTTCCACTATAGACCTGCGGGAATACTTGTTCGACAACGGTCTACCTGTGGGGAGACGTAGCGATTGATTCGTACACTCTATCAGCAATTTACGGTGAAATATTATTATGTCGAAATTGATAGGAGATTCTATTCGTTAAAAGTCGATGTTAACATGGTTTTCATTCGCTTTATTTTCTGGCAAGAGCAACAACGACGACCACGTGACATTCATTTCATGACCACATCAGAAGAAAAATTCGATTCTTGTAACAGTAACAATGAGAATTCTTATCATCAGTTGTGTGACTGAAAGTCATTTGTTTTTATGTTGGTATATTTACGCATTCTTCCAGCGAAGAAGAACAGAACAAAACTTAACTTTTGCATTTAGACTTTGTGAAAAAATACAAGCGGCGGACTAAATAATGGCAGCTAATAATTCAAATCTCGGTATGGTTGAAAGAAAAAAACGATGAACACGAACTTTATTATTCTACAATTTGATTAGATCTTGTCTTTGCGATGGATTGCACTGGTTCAATGGGTTCGTATATCAAAAGTGCAACAGACAACATTCGTATGATTATTGATGAAATTATTGCCAAAGAGAAAGTCACTATACGACTTGCTCTCGTCGAGTATCGTGATCATCCTCCTCAAGTCTGTATGAAATAATGACGATTATACATTCAATACGTTATATATATGTTTCAAGACAATACACTTGTAACTCGTGTTCGTAGTTTTACAAATACAGTGACAGAAATGAAAGGATGGCTGGCGCGCTTCGTGAGGCTTTCAGTCTTCCGTGGCGTTCCGATGCGACTAAAATCTGCATTCTCATATCTGACGCACCACCTCATGGTCTTGTCGCAGCCGGTGATGGTTTTCCCAGTGGATGTCCAGCTGATCACGATTCACTCAACATTGCACGGAACATGGTTGAAAGAAGCATCACTCTCTACACTGTCGGTGTCGAACCACCTATTGGTAATTTATTTTTTATCGTATGAAAACTATCTCAATCGGTATCTTTTCCATTGTAGTACCTTATCGTGAGTTTTTCATGGCTATTGCACACATAACAGGTGGACAATATGTTCCAATGGCAGATGCAAATAAACTAGCACAAATGATCATTGGCGGCGTACGCGAGGAAATATCGCTTGATCGAGTTATGAATAGTTCTAAGCGAGACATTGCTCGGGAGGTGCATAAAGCAGCTAGAGATGGAGTTGACGACAATGAAGCAGCCAAACGATTACAAAAGATCTTTTCCGAAAAGAACGTCGTTGTTAATCGCATGAGAAATGAAGCTAGAACACCGTCAAAAGCCGCTGAAGAATGCTACGCGAAATGTACAGATATGTCCGACATTCAACAACAATACCAACAATCGATACCCACCGTTTCTCATACTAAAGCAGCCGAAATGGATTATAAATTAGAAGAGAATAAACCAGTCAGCTTCGAACAAGCGAAACGTATTGTTCAAAAAGCAAAGAATTGGGATTACTCATCAATTGATTTAAGTGATGATAAGACTTCAACTGGTAACTCTACTGCTGGAACACCATGCAAGCATGGGGCACGCTGCCGTGATCGAAGCGACTATCACTGAGCAAGATTTTTGCATCCGGAAAGTAGTACTAGTACTCGAAACAGTGGTCAACATCATCGAGCAAAATATTCTCATTCAAGTCAATGATTTCCTGGACGAATTTTCCTTTCACAAAAGACTCCAGCATACTCAAGAAAACATTGTTTTTTTTGCTTTCTTCTGTAGTCTATTGATATTGACTTACATCCCCTGTGACGCAATAACATGGGTTTTTTTCCTTTCGATACATGAGTCACGGTAAATAGCAAAACGAGAAATATAAGGTGCGCCGCATTTCACCACCAAAAGTTTCTTGTTGTCATTCGAATCAGAAACACGCAGAGAGAAGCGCAACATGAATCAACTGAAATTCGATTCATATAACTTCGTACAAGTGGGCAAAGTTATAGCTCATACAGATAAATTTTTAGTGGAAAATGAGATCATTTTCATCATGATTGGTAGTACTGGACAGCAACAACCGTTCGTGTCACCTGTATCAGGCGTAGTTACTAAAATATACGTTCACGAAAACGATATACTTTCATATGGATCGCTAATCCTTGAATATCAAGAATGTTCGCATGCGGTTATCTACAAAGATTTATGTGCTGTTTGTGGTAAAAAAGTTGACAAAACATTGGAACCATCTAACTCGATGCAGAAAGTTACGGCAATAGAGCCGGCATTCTCTTGTGTCAAAACTACTAGAGAAAGAGCGATAAAATACGATAGTGACGAACGTAATCTACTACTTCGTAGACGCAAACTTCATTTGTTGATTGATCTGGATCAAACACTTGTTCACACTAGCAATTCTCCGAATCATTATCCATCATCAGATGACATTATTTCATTCTATTTGGATCACCCAGTAGCACAGACACTTTATACAAAACTACGTCCTGGTGTCAAAGAATTCCTTGCCCATCTGCAATCTTACTATGTCTT